ATGAAAACAAATTGATTTAACGCCGCTCTCAGCAGTATTCCAGTGATATATGACGGCGGTCTGTTGTATATGAAATAAATGCAAATTGAATCTTGAAAGTTGCAGCTTTTCCGCAAATCAGTATCACATGCAGTATACAGTATATCAACTGCAATATACTGTATACAACATACAGTATACAGTGTGTCGCGAGCTCCGCGCTTGGCTGGAGCACACATTTCCTGCCCCTCTCCCTTCGGCAAACATCTCATGGGGGGTGTAACGAGGTCACAGGTCAGGCGTGAACTCGTCAGTTGTCTAATACGGTCAAGAGTAAGATCTTCCGGACGATCACTGCACTAGAGGAATTTGGATTGTTGATGAGGTACAACGTGTTTGGAACTGGGAGTTGAACACTAAGCACTTATAGAGAAGAGCTCACCATAAAACGCACACACACACACACACACACACACACACACACACACACACACACACACACACACACACACACACACACACACACACACACACACACACACACACACACACAAGCAGGTGACCCACAAGGAGGAATACGGCCCTCCCTCAGTCAAGAAGCATGTGTTATACTGTGCCTACCACAATAAGTTGTGAATATGTAGCCTTGTTGTGGCCAAACATTTGGTAACAATTTGGCAAACTTTGATATGTAAACAGCACATATAATTCAGTTTAATTTCATCTTAATATATCAGTTGAATCCCACTTGACCTTTGAAAATCCGGGTTAGAATAGATCTTCAGCTACCAATGCATGCCGTTATAGGCTACTATGCTTGTCCATAAACTAAGACAGCTACGCGATAAATCGCAAAGAACAAAGAAGAAGGAACCGATATATATATTTCACGATAAAACATTGTTCTATCATGACGCATTTATTGAGATTCGAACATGCACTCGCAGCTTGAGGACGTTGTAAATTTGACGTTATTTGTGAGAGGGAAGTGTCTAGTGAGTTGTTCCCAATAGATGTAGCTGGGAAGGTAGATAATTGCCGGAACAATCGCATCCGAAAGTGAGAGCGAAACGACAATCGGTATTGGGAGAAAAGGTACATATAATCGACGAGAAAATTGTGAGAATATGCGGAAAAGACCAAATTCAACCCCTCCTGTTCATAAAATGGATTTACCTGACAATGACGCGGTCGGATTCTATTCAAGGAATCATCATTATTTAAGTACGGGTAAATATTTTTAAAGCGTGTACTTTTTCCTAATTTAACACCCTAAAAGAGGCTGTACGTAATGTTGATATCTCATATAAGAAATAAACGAGTCGGGGTCGTTGTTTATCGTACAATAAACAACTCCCACGCGCGGTTTGTTTCTTAATTACATGACCATATACACTGACATTATATCACATGTTTATCAGTAGACAAAAACGACATAAACCATTCCATCATCACAAGAAACCCTTGCCAAAAGTAGCGCCAACTGCACGATTCCGACAACACCAGGAGCATGTTTCATTATTCACCATAAAAAAATGATGACACTTGGTGCTCGCACAAAGGCGAGCTCATCCCGATCCACTGGTGGCACGCGCCACAAACACATGCAAATGCAAGACAATTGATCACCCGAAAAGGCACGGAAACACCCGTTTCAAGTCAAAATAGAGAATTGCATCAGACATCATTTTCGTCATTGATACGTCAAACCTGGAAATGCCGTCTACACGTCCAACACAAAGCCCAAGCCAGGACCCGAATCCTTTGAACCCGCCCAAACAACCCCATGAGCACGAAGCTCGCCGAAATCCAAAGTCCTGTTAATTACATACAAAGTTTCACTTCAAGTATTCTATACTTGTTCTGAAGTAAAACGTATTTACTCGCATGAATCGCCTTATGTCATTTATTGCCGATAAACAGAATATGAACACTTTCTGACAGTAATGTTTGATAAGTCACGCACCAAACCTTTACTCTCGATATACATGTTGCTCTTACTTAAAACACTATTGTGCTAACAAGATACGTATATTAAAGTGCCATGCTTTCCTGATGTGCTATCATTCTAATTTGAAATAATGACATAAATAGTTACCACTCATCTTTCAATATTTTTCGAGGTCGGGTTAATCCCAAACATATTTGAATACATGACCAATCAATGCCACTGAATCACTCTGTACTTGTGTAATGAATTGTGATTGGCTCTTCACTCATAGCGTCTGTTACTACCATTATCGATCGATATTTTCATGTAAGTAGATTACATTCACATTGAATGTGACAGTTAAGGCTTGTAAATAATAACAAACGGCGAAAACATATTGAATATATATTTTTACACTATGAATGGTAAACAACTTGTATCATTGCAATGTGCGAGACAAGGCGAAGATCGTGAGATTGTCCGAGTGCTCTCCCCCGCCTCGGCCTCGGTTAAACGGGTCATCGTCTATAACGCCCACCAATTATTTGGACCCCATTGGTAGCGTTGTAGCGAGGGACCACTGTATAAACAACAGCTATACTTACTTATCTTTATACTTAAAAAGCATTAGGTTTGTCTGTCATACAGACCCCGAAACAAATACATCCAATACAGCCCAAAATTTGGCAAGATGAAGAAAGTCTCTTGGCTCCTTTTTATTATATTTTACAACTATCGTTTAACAACTGGTTTTTTTCTGTAAAATATGTTCATTTCTGAGATTAGATGTTATTCTAGCATCAGGTCTGTGGTACGTTCACTGCATCAGCGTTGACATAAAAACGATATTTACATATATAAATACATACAGAGAAAATGCTTAGCATTTATCTAAGGAAGAATGTGGGACTTGCTTAATACATATGTATGTGGACATATATGTATGGACATTTGGATGAATATAGATATACCTCCTTAAAGATAGTGATCGTAGATGATTGTAGAACGTGCATGAAGAAAATGGAATAATTGTGTGAGTAATCGGGTAAATATTCAGCCATATTGCGATATTGGTTTCCAACATACAAGACGGACCATGAAATTATGACTTGAGTTTGGACCTGGCTTTCTGGTGTGATGTAACACACCATAATCTCCTGTAGATAAAGAGCTAAACGCACGAAAACAGATCACGAGATGAAACTGATGTATACATCTGGACATATATTTGCCTAGTATTACAACTTTAATTCATCAATATATATATGCATTTTGCGCAAAAGGATATTGTAGGATCGACGCTGACATGAGCATATAACCTATTCAACAGTGCTGTTGTATCTAAATAATTTGATTTTTGATACATATCGATAGGAACATGGAGAGTCTGTCTGAAGAAGTATAGACATGCATGGGATCTTTTGGATAGTTATACTTCACGGTTAGACAAACGCTTAGTCTCTGAAACTATATTAATTTGGTTAAAACGAGAAACTATATTTAAATTTAAAAGGAGCCTAAGTGAGATGGGAATTTCAACCTGAACCTGTATCACCTTCATTTTAAAAAAAATACATGAGTTCCAAATGTTGGAGGTCACAATTATCCAGTTTCACATAAGACAGACTGACACATAAACTCCCATAACCATATCGAGGATGTCACACAGTCACATCTAGCTGATGATCTCCTACCCATTCTGCATTACTCGGTGAAATCTGCTTAACGCCCGCGATCTCAAAATAGACTCTCGCACAGATTAAACACGTCTGTATGGAATACTGTCCCTTACAGTATTCCATACGTCTGTGTTTGCGAGGAGGCGATGTCACTGGCCAATGTTCTTCAGTGAACCCGGCCACGTCCCGCCTGCGAGGTTCAAATATGATAACCTTGCGACGTAACTGACACAACGAAAGTTGAATCAGATAGGTGAGGTGAAATTGGATTTAACGTCGCGTTCCAGATTATTGCACGTATATAGCTCTGTGTGTGTGTGTGTGTGTGTGTGTGTGTGTGTGTGTGTGTGTGTGTGTCTGCTTGTCTGCTTGTCCTAGTCCGGACTGATGCCGATTTATAGTGCTAGCTCACTGAGATACCATGCCGTAGTTTAACATGAATAACCTACTCAATTCAATTCAATTCAATTCTTTATTGTATGAAAGGCCACAGGCCCATATACAACGGAGTTACATAACATATTTTATAAAATACAAAATCAAGGTAACAATTCACTTCGTAACAAAAAAGCATTATGTATGTACAAAGCCAGTTGATGTTGTGTTATAAGATCCTTGCAAGACAGTAATGAAGACAATCTTTTAGCATTAAAATGAGATAGAGACCACTGCGGTAAGTACTTGTCTCTTAGATTTTCGTATGTAGGGCCAAAAAACATGAAATGGTATTCATCTTCGACAACAGACACAGTATACTGACTCCGAGACGACCAGTCCTTGTGTTAGCCCCTTAATGCCGAGCGCCAGGCAGGGTTTGTTCCATTGGTGGGATGTTAGAATCCGTCTCATGTCGTCAAATAAACGCAATACATCAACGAGACGACCCAAACATTTTCTCGGGGCGAGTGGAGTCAGGGGTCCCACCTTGAGGGGGCAAGCATCATAATATATTTCACGTAGCTGAATCTACACTGTCACAGTGATTCTTTGGTCCGAAAATGGGTTAAGGTGAAGAATTGACTTGCCTTTGAGTGTGTTTATGACGGGTGCCACCGGTGGGACAAGATGCACTCACCTTTTCGGGAACACCTGGTATCATCACTATTTGATAGCGATTCCTAAACACGTGCTTATGATTAAGTCGAAATCGTACAAAGGACCTTGTTTTTGTAGATATTTGTTATGATAGTGGAAATGTTTTATCGCTTTAATTAACCCAAACGAGGAGACTGGGAAATATAGATTAACTGTGTTTGGGTTTTGTGCGAACGCTCAATATGTTTTTGTTGTATTGCAACTGAATGTTGTATTCATTGCGGTGACTGACGGTTCCCGAAGGATTGCCGTGTTAAAGGAAATGTGCTTAACGAATCCTGGAATAATATTAAGCCATGACCTATTTGTAGTCTTATCTGCGCTGATTGATCCCGTATAAAAGAAACTAACGCTCTCTATATCTTTCTATTCTAGCCCACACACGAAACAGGTAAGTCGCTATTTCATTGCAGCACATTACGTCATGAGGCCACGTAGTGTCTGACATCTGGCTGGCTACGTGATGAGAACTCACCTAAACATTTAGGAAAAAAATTAATCTTGCTTATTAGGTACAACCATATAAAATATATCCATTTCCCTTTATAGTGGGACCTACATGAGTTTAAATACAGAAACCGAAATCGATTGTCGGTGACATACTCAACAACTGCTTGTTCTGATTCTTGCATCAAATGCTGTGAGTCAAATCGATGGTATCTGAGCCCCATTGTCACGCTGATTTCACTCAAGTCAGTATTCCTTTCACTCAAGTCAGTATTCCTTTCACTCAAGTCAGTATTCCTGCACATGGGGTAAAAATAGTGTTGTTACGTGATGTCTATGATAATGTGTAATGTGCTATTTTTTGATACGATGACATCTGTTTGTTCACATAAGCAAACATTCGTCTTGTTCACATGGCACTATTTGCATATCAAATTAACTTATCTATACCCACGCAAGCAAGTTCGCCCAAGTGACGAATGTACCCACAAGTACATTGATTCATAGGAGTGGTGCATCAAGTCTCCATGTGAATGGAACTTTAGACTTTCGTGAACGTGGTAAAATTATTGTACTTACCTTTAAATTGATTCATAAATGCATATTAAAGTCTTCATGTGAATAGAGCTTCGGACCTTCGTTAATATCACCACAATGTTAAATGTAGTGATGCTCATTAGTCACTATGAAAATAAAGTAGTGGTCCTCCACTCCACAGACCAAACCCCGTTATTCCGGATCCCTGTTTCCGGGCGATTATTGTTAAGAACGACTATTAACACAGTACTCATGATGCGTTAATCAGAACATTCGTTAATCCGGACGATTTCACTGGGAAACATATACCGTCCGGATTAACGGGGTTTCACGGTATATTTTTATATATATTTTGGTTCTGGTTCCAGATAACAATGGGTCTGCTGTCGTTCTGTGCAATTGCTGTTCTTTTTGGGTATGTGACAAAGTTAAGTTTTCATATTTGTATTAATGATACTTGTATGATGCAAATACTAATACCTTCTAATGTTACTTATACAGTTTTGGCTGAGCATGTATAGTCTGTATGCAACTAGTAGACGGTTTTCAAATTACTCAATCATGTTCAATGGACAAAACCTTTTTAATGTTAAACTGTACACGATATACAACCTTTTCATTGGACGAGAAGTCAGTCACATGGTGGCGAAACTGACATTCATAAGTATATGAACGACAAATCTTGACGTTCATACGTTTTTCACGAGACTATATTCTTGAAATGATGACAACACTGACGGAGCACGTCCACATTCCTGGGGAAAACCCTGGGAATTCCACGATTAAATACAGAAGCGTTGTTTCTGATCTTTTAGACCCCTAAATCGTGACCTCAGCGTTTGAGCATACGTTGAGATAACCCAGAAAGTTAACTGCTCGCTCGTAGTATCGATTCGATCCGTGTCTAGACTTACGTACAGTGACAGTCGACAGCAAATTCAGCAGTCTATTTACCTTAGTATCTATGTGACACATCTTTACAATCAACTTTCAATTGATCAATGATGATATTTGTAACCACCACACGTTCAGTAACGACTTAGGAAATCTCTACCGTCCCGTTTATCGTGTCGGCCATTGTGACGTCAAGTACTTGATGTAAATGTTGGTTGGCTTGTTGTTTAACGCCGCACTCAGCAATATTCCAGCTATATGACGGCGGTCTGTAAATAATCTAGTCTGGACTAGACGATCCAGTGATTAATATCATGAGCATCGATCAACGCAATTGGGATCGATGACATGCATCAACCAAGTCAGCGAGCCTGACCACCCGATCCCGTTAGTCGCCTTTTACGACAAGCATAGTCACCCTTTACGGCAAGCATGGGTTGCTGAAGACCTATTCTACCCCGGAATCTTCACGGGTCTGATGTAAATGTATGACGACACGCTGCCATTGTGACTAACTTTCTGAGGTAGTTCTGAACAGACCCTTCTCATCTGATGGTGATGTTATTTGAATGTATCTGTGGTACACAAACCTACAAAAGAGGTCACTGAAGACAAACGTGAGCAGACATGCGCTTATGTCACTTCTCGGTTTGAGGAACTACTTCATTCCACGATGTAACTGGTTGTTGTATGGTCGTCAGTGTAATTATGAAGTCATACGCACTAAATGAAAAAGGTGTAATGGATCTACATCCTTTGAAGTAAAAGAAAGTGATATGAAAACGATAAGAGTTGACTTTCACTTTGTGTGTGTTCATTGGAGTATGAACCTCGAGTGAAGGCCAAGACCCGACGTTCACACAGCTTGGCCATCATTTTGTGAAGGTTCAATACTTCAAAGAACTCAGACAATGTGAAAGTCAATTCTTAAAAAGTTTTCATACTTGGTTTATAGCCATTTTATTTTACCATTTTCGGGATGTTTTCGGACATCTGTCCGTCACCTTCAAACGTTCTGTTTTTTCATCTATGACTGCTGAATTGTTCAAAGGATTGAACATTAAATGCAAGACGGTTAGTATGTTTGTTACACTATACCCAGTTTGTTTTTGTTGTTTGTCTGTTTGTTATTTAATTAACGCCCAGACGGCACGATTTTAACTATATATGACGTTTGACTGTAAATAATCGAGTCTGTGTATACTGCGGGCATAAATCAATGAACATGATGTTATAAGGATGGTCGTTTTGACCCTTACGTCGATAAAATGTTATATTGAACTATTCTGATTCACTTGTGAAGCGTTCTTGTAACTGACAACTTTTCCAGTGCTTTGTGAAAAAACCCAGATAAACACTTCCTCGTTTCATGGTAGAATGGAGGCAAACATGCTGTTCAGTGTAGAAACAACATAACCTGTAGATTTGACAGCAATAAATGTAACATTTGAAACCTCACGCTACGTATTGGGTTCCAAATTCAATGTAACTCCGTCGAATCTACTTGTAACTCAGGTCTACTTAAAAGATACAGTGTGCTTATCTTCTAAGTGAGGGTTGGCCGGGTAGACTAGATGTTAAAGTGTTCATTCGTCAGGCCGAAGACCCGGCTTCGATTCCCGACATGGCTACTATGTGTAAAGCCCATTTCCGATGTCCCCCGCTGTGATATTGCTGGAATGTTGCTAAAAGCGGCGCAAAACCATACTCATTCACTCCTCAATGTGAGTTCCTGCTACATATAGCCACTGTTTACTATGTTTTTCCATATAACATAACTATTCAACAATCGCATCGTGTAGCGCACATTTGTTTTGTTAACAAGGTGACATACCGTTGTTGAAAACTCAATACAAAACCAGAAAACCTTTATCTGATGACACATTCAACTGCCTCCTGTGATTCGTGGCATCACATGATAAGATCCAGTACTTGGGGTAATCTGGAGGAGTGAGTGAGTGAGTACGTTTGGAGTAACGCCACTTTGAACTGTATTAGAATTATATCATGGCGGGTCAGTTTGATGTGGGAGGGAGGCCCGAAGTGATGCAGGCCTCAGACGTTTGCCACTTTGGTTAAACTCGCGGTATGGTGCTTACAAACGGAGAAACTTCATCAGGGCGAACCGGGATTCGAAACCACAATCATAGGTTTCTGGCGTTCCAAAGGACGCAAGTCTGCACAGCAAATTCCGTCCCCTCAGGCGATAGCACTGTTCTTTTATATTACTCAGGGACTAATAAGGAATCGGTTGAAATCGTTTTGAATCCATATCTTGCAGGGTTGCCCATAGTCAGACTGCAACTGACGTGGCCACAACCGTGTTTAACCAACTTAATACTGGCCATAAGAGCTTTGTTACACTGGCGGACTTTAATGCGTACTACAGTCAGTTCGACATAAATGGTACGTACTTAAAACCTTAACTACATCCGCTTGAGTATGTCACTAATGTATGCATACTTTGCCCACATTTTGAATAGTCTGTGTGTCTTGGTGTGTGTGTGTCTACGTGTGTGTGTATGTGTGTATATGTGTGCATGTGTATCTAGATGTGCCTGTGTCTGTGTGTCTTGGTGTGCGTGTTTCTGAGTGTCTCGTTGTGCATGTGTCTGTGTGTCTAGGTGTGCATGTGTCTGTGTGTCTAGGTATGCATGTGGCTGTGTGTCTAGGTATACATATGTGTGTGTGTGTGTGTGTCTAGGTGTGCGTGTGTATGTGTGTCTAGATGTGGATGTGTCTGTGTGTGTCTAGGTGAGCGTGTGTCCGTGTGTCTTGGTGCGCGTGTGTCTGTGTGTCTTGGTGCGCGTGTGTCTGTGTGTCTCGGTGTGTGTCTCTCTGTGTCCAGATGTGCATGTGTGAGTGTGTGTGTGTTTAGGTGAGCGTGTGTCCGTGTTTCAGTAGCCTATTTGTTTTGATTTAGGTAATCTAAAAATGAAAAAATGTGCATTTCTCTCTTTTTCTGCATCTCTTTAAGACATGCATCATTGAAGCCAATTAACTATACCAATATTGTATACTGATATGGTAAATAACAGAATATCTAAAGAACAAATTTTGTATTATTTTAAATATGCTTGTACATGGTTAATGTTTTGGTTGGCTAGTGAAAATTAAATGTGATCAACATGTCATAGTGTTGGGCAAATACATTCCAAAGTTTTCAGGTTTTCAAATTTAAAAATAAATAAATTATGTTGTGGGTCATATTCAAACGAGATATACTAGAATTTCTTTGTGGGGCCATATTGGATTTGGCAGCCATATTTGATTTTGGGGGGTGGCCCATATCTGAAAATATTTGGCATGTCATTACCTACAACTGTGCCATGTTTCAGGCTTTTGTTACAAAGTACACAATTGGCCCTCTATCAGTTATGAAACGTTTCCACTGTGTGCTGACCATAAGAGGCAACCAATTGGATGGGTTGGTCAGACTCGGTGACATGGATGATTGCATAGCAACGTACCCCGACGGCGTGGATCGTTGTATACAATATCAATCACTGGATTGTCTGGTCATGTCTTGATCATTTAAAGAGCGCCATCATACAGATGGAATATTGCTGAGTGTGGCGTTAAATAACAAGGAAACAAAAATATGGAAACTGGTATTCAGAATGATCTTTACGTATTTAACTGGTCACTCACTCATGTTGAAGGTAAGGGGTCTATAAGCAAGCAGGACTTCTTGAAACTTGTGACCGACCACGCCGAGGCTGAGAGGCAGTTTAACCTGTATGACGTTGATAAGGACGGGGCATTGACTCTGAAGGATGTCAAACTAATTGTGGATAAGTTTGACACAGACAGTGAGTAAAAGCCTTGTTATCTAACTACAAAACCATAAAAAAACCCATCATAATCAGAACCCGGAACAGTTGTTCCGGATATATTCCTGTATATGAAGCGATGTAAACCCATTGACCAGTGGTGGCACGTGGTCCTATGTACAACGCACAGGTCAAATTCAGGTGAAGTTGAGCAATGCCAGTCTTTGAGAGTATTAAAAATTGGTGCCCTAAGTTCGGGAACTTGACTCCTGATCTTCTCTAGGGCTTCGGTCCTGCCACGCACTGAAGCACATGGAGCACATGTGGTGTCCACTTAGGGGTCATATGCCTCTGTAATGAGATGAGATGGTAATGTGACTAACCATCTAGCGCCTAACGAGAAGCTTGGGTAGTATACTCCCCAGGGAGCTGAGAATCAACAATCGAGTGCACACTCATCCATTGACCGGGTAATACTAATGTGGCGCCACGAGTGTTCACATGGTAAATGGAATTGAGCGCATTATAAATGCACTTTTTTTGTTGGTTGAAGTAAGGTCATATTGCACAAGAGGCAATTTTAATGAAATCAATCATATCAAAGATCCCGAAACAGACTTAAAGGGGTATGACTTTCTAGATCAGCCAGCCCTGATCTAAAAGCACGAGTGTGTGGATATGTAAGTGGATTTGCTAAGCAGAGAGGTGTGTGGGTGAGAACAATTACCGCCTCTTCGAATAGGGCTCAAATCAAATCTTTGCTACCGAACTAGTCCAGGCTATTTATCATAATAGAATGGAAATATTATACACTGGATAATCGAGGATGATCAATCCTGGGATTATATCTTTCTGATTCAATTTCAGGTGATGGCAAGATAACATTGGCCGAGTTTAAGGCAAACTACGCCACGGTAAGGATATTTAACTGACATGACAGGTTCTTATTAATACGTGTTCCTCATGTTCCTCATGACACGTTATAATAAATAATTATTCCTCGGCTCACTTGACTAATAGAATTGACCAGTGTGTACACTAGTTAGATGGCTTATTACATTCCCGTTTCGTTTTCGGGAGTCTAAGAGAATCTGGTGACATAGTCCGGCAGAGAGGACAAAATCCAAGAATTGGGGGATAAAGTTTTTTTTATTGCTGGATTTGTTTAAGTACACATTCTAGGTTATGAAATTGACTGATGACACTTTGTCATCTTTGGGCATTTTAAAATATTCAAGATGGCCGCCAAGATGGCCGCTAAAACATGAAAATATCTCTTCCGTGCTAATTGTATGGAATATGGGACTACTTTTAGTGCATATCACTATTGTTTTGCCTTCAACATATTAGAATATGTTATTCTTAATGAAATAGTTTCATTTGGAAATGTAATTAATCAAAATAATAGGCAATATTGTCTATGAAAAACCCCAAATCAGTATATATCGTTATATATACATTTGTTATTATATTATTCAGTGTCAACTGGGATGCTTGTGGATTTTCTAACGATTGTTAATGTTCTATAGTTACAAAATAAGATAAATTCCCACTGCATTTTGAAATCAAATTATAAAAAACAATAAAGATAATTTAAAATAAAAATAATAGTAACCTCAAAAGAGGTGCAAATAAAGCAAAACCTATTATGTCTGTTATACACATGGTTATGTTAAATTGTGTTAAATATTCTTAAGAAATTCATGCCAAAACAAACTGGGCCAAAAACAAATTGGGCCAACTTTTTTGGAAAAAAAGAATGGAACAATTAATGACTGGTCCCTTTCAATGGCTGCCTCAAAGCTTGAGCTTGACATCTCAGCATGCACTGCAAACACGAAAACGACGTTTTTTTCCGTATATGGTCATTGGACCGAAAAACGACTAAAAATTCATTAAAATTGATTAATTGGTTAGCGTCTAGAAAGTGTCCGGAAAAGCGTCGAGTTTTTCAAGCGTAAAATGGACGGAAAAACGATGCTTTTTGCTCCGCCTTGTACAACTGTTAACGGCCAATCAGATGGCGCTGGTCCCCCGACGCACGTGATGCCAAAGGCTTCTTTTCGGAAGCATAAGGTTTCGTATTTCTGGCATGGCTTGCTCCAGTATCTGTCGCGCGCAGTGCAGCGAGATTTGCTGATTAGTCAGTTTTAGGATATGTAACATGTTAACGGAATTCAGACACGCGCCAAAAAGTCAAACCAAACCATGCTACCAAGTTTATTGAGATAACGTATCCCTCCGCTATGTACAGTTACCTCTATCGAATAATGGGTTGTGTTTCATTTGGTTATAACAGTAACTAATTTTGTAATGTGAAGTTTACACGATACACGGCTTTTCCATAGGACGGGAGGTGGGTCACATGACGTTTATCACGTGACTGTATTCTTGAAATTACGTAAACACTGACTACTTCCACATTCCTGGGGAAAACCCTGGGAATTCCCAAGTACGAATTCATACAGAAGCGTTGTTTTTCATCATTTAGACCCTTTAATTTTGAACGTAGCGTCTTAGCATACTCTGGGATAAGTCATAAAGTTTGGTTGCATGCCCGTTCAAGGATACCCATCCTAGAGAAAAAAACAACCCAAAAATCCAAACTATCGTAGTTACAATCTACAGCAATCTATGAATTTACCTTAGTATCTATTTGACACATCTTTACAATCACCTTTCAATGATCGGCCAATTGATCAGTGATGACAAAGGCTTGAAATCGCCACAGGTTAATTAACAACTTCGGAAAAATCTCCCGTCACGTTTATAGTCGGCCATTTTGTACTTGATGTAAATGTATTACAACGCTCTGTCATTGTGATTGACTTACTGAGGTAGTTCTTAACGGACCTTCTCATCTAATGAGGATATTTTTTGGAATACATTTCTTGTAAACAAACTAAAACAGATGTTCCTCGCTTTGGGGGGAACTATTTTATTCCGGAATGGCCTATTAAAGCTAATAGTAAGTCAAGGCACAATGCGTGTATATGATCTGTTATTATATGTGTTTAACAAATACGGTTTTGGGCGTTAATAAAATACACTGATGCAAGTATATTCTAATCAAATCAATTGGATAATTGAATATGCTTTATTTTACATATTACATAACATCACTACACAAAATTTGGACATTTGCAGTAACACACTACGGTGATCGCATTAAACACCACTTTGAACAGTATTTTAGTTATATTGTATTGGCTCAGAGCATTATTGTTCATCACAGCGTATAGACTCGGCATGCAGATGAACTCATCAGCGCATTTTTATACTTTATCTTTTAACTGTCATGTTAAACTTCTATTTCATAACTCAGTTTTATTTGCACGGATCACTATTGAATCTTGGAAGGGACATTGTCGCGTTGTCGTATTGCCGCATTGACGCCCTTACAAAAACAAGCAAAACGTGTCGAAATTAACCAAAGCGCGACAATTCGACAACGCGATATTTTGGCCATTTGTCGCATTGTCGCGTTGTCGCATTGTCGCTCTTTGAATAATCTTTTTCTATATTTTACAAAAGGGCGACAATGCCGTAACGCGACATTTTTCAATGTCAAAATATGTCTCGTTGTCGCATTGTCGCCCCATCACAAATATGTATAAAAGGCGTAAAGTTCAGTTAATGTTACAGTTAGGAAGCGGTAACCAAGTTATATCTGTCGTAGAAGTTCAACTTGATACATGTACGTCTTGAATTGAAAACACAAGTCCGTACGCGAGACCATAACGTTTTATGGTGAGCTCTTCTCTATAAGTGCTTAGTGTTCAGCTCCCAGTTCCAAACACGTTGTACCTCATCAACAATCCACATTTCTCTAGTGCAGTGATAGTCCGGAAGATCTTACTCTTGACCGTATCAGACAACTGACGAGTGCACGCCTGACCTGTGACCTCATTACACCCCCCATGAGGTGTTTGCAGAAGAGAGAGGGGCAGGAAATGTGTGCTCCAGCCCAGCGCGGAGCTCGCGACACACTGTATATACTGCATGTTGTATACAGTATATTGCAGTTGATATACTGTATACTGCATGTGATACTGATTTGCGGAAAAGCTGCAGCTTTCAAGATTCAAGATTCAATTTGCATTTATTTCATATACAACAGACCGCCGTCATATATCACTGGAATGCTGCTGAGAGCGGCGTTAAAACAACTTGTTTTCATAATGGAGCGCTGCAGTCATTTAAAATGGAACCGTATGCATGTGTTGTACCAACTCAATCACTCTGTTTCGAATATTCAGCAGCAAAAATATATAATAACCAGCTGTGAGGAGAGATATAAGATTTTTATAAGCAGTCAAATATGGATGATAAAGGACCCCTCACTAATTAGGTTCTTGTTTACTTAAGAGCAGAGTTGGCCATGTTAGATGATATAACGGTGTCCTCCCAGATCGCCTAATTTCTCCCCACAAGGTACCAAAATACAATTAAGTGATGTGGGTATGCCATACCTGGATGAGATTTATAATTAGGTAATGTGGGTAGTTGGAACAGTCCACTTTACTGAATGAAGGGATGACAAGACAACCAGAGATACATAGTTTTACATATTTTAATCAACAATATATTATAACAAGTAGCCTCTATCAAAAACTTTGTGTCTCTGTGTCTCTTGTTGAATTAGCATTAGATAAGGTTGAGAAATAATTTGGAAAGTGTGTCGTCTCCTACCCCAGCTGGCGCCATCACAAACCGTCAATCACCCACTTAGTCATAGCCCCGACAGCTGAATGTCCTGCTATTTTTCACAAATTAAACTACCAGCGGCGGTATTGATTTAAACATATTTTATTTCGGAAAACCAAATGGATTAGGCACAAGTGACACACTTACGAGGCCTTCTCCTATTACAATGTAGCTCCAGTGTCTGCTTCATCCAACTCACTGACCGTGTTATTGATGATGAGGAAGAAACCTAAACTGATTGTGTGTATGTGAAGAAAACCTTGAGCCAATATTCATTTTTGAAAGTTCAGAATAATCAATTATCCTTAAAAAGAATGCCGTGCTTGTTGACTTTATAATGTTTCGACAGGCATTTTGCCAGTTATCTTGCTTATTTAAGAATCAAATTATGTTTTAAATGATACCAGTTCATTTAGAATACCATATTCTAATTAGTTGAAAGCAAAATATTAGTGATTTGCTCCAAAAGTGGTATCATATTCCATACTGTTAGCAAGGAAGCGATATTTTCATGTTTTGGCGGCCATCTTGTCGGCCATCTTGAATATTTCAAAATGCCCAAAGATGACAGAGTGTCATCAGTCAGTTTCATAATCTAGAGTACATCATTAAACAAATCCAGCAATAAATAAAACTTTATCCCCTAATTCTGGGTTGGGGGAAAATATTCATTTCTCTGCCGGACTAACAAGGTTCGGTCATTGTGGTTCATCGTGCCTCGAGTACATGGGGCGTTGAACATGCTATTTACCACTCGTTTGGCTCAGAATCGAATTCCAAGCTCCTTTGACACAACTTGAATAGAGCCGGTTGCGGCGTAAAAGAACAGTTGCTGGATACGTGGTCCACAAAAATAAGTTGAGGTATATCTCTAGGATTGACGGTGTCATATAAACATGAATCTTCAACATGTACTAATGCATATAATGTGACCCATGAAGATCGGGGGTAGAACAGGTCTTCAGCAACCCATTTTTGCCGTAAAAGGCGACTATGCTTGTCGTAAGAGGCGACTAACAGGATCGGGTGGTCAGGCTTGCTGACTCGGTTGATGCATGTCATCGTATCCCAACTGCGTGGATCGATGCTCAATCACTGAATTGTCTACCCCAGACTCGATTATATACAGACCGACGTCATATAGCTGGAATAGTGCTGAGTGCGGCGCTAAACAACAAACAAACAAAGCATATAATGCGTTCATCAGTTATGTTATTTATCTTTGTAGCTCCTCGTTGGCCATGACAACACCCCTATTGGCAAGTAGACGAACAGTGGAGAATAACGTCGCTGAGTTGAAAATAAATATATAAGATAAAATATCATGTCCCTTTTTTCTCTCAACATGTGTGGATCCAGAGGTACATGAGGTGACATATCGTGGATTGGATAAACACAATGTCTGAAAGGACAATAAAGGCAAACCCCTCTTATCTTATGTATCGTGGATAGCGTTGACATGCACAGCGTTGATCAAACACTGTCAAACACTGGCTTGTGTTCAGTAGCAGTGTCTAATTTTACGACATAAATGCGGCTGGGTAGTCGAAACGTGATACCCTCGGCTCGTCATTCCGATGACCTGGGTTCGATTCCCCACATGGATGCACCGCGCAAAGGTCATTCTTGGTGTTCTCGTTGGCTGGAATATTGCCAGACGTGGCCTTCATGAGCACAAATGTACCTAAATGAAACATGTGATCAATATATTTGTCAAATAATACCACTCTGTATACATGTAGTATGCACTTTGTGTATTTTGGCCTATGGTCTTTCATACAATAAATATTTGAATTGAGGCCATTGACTGTTACAGAAAGGTTTGGGGAATGGCATCTGAATCTGGCATACCTCATTATTGCCGTGTGACCCGTGAAGATCCGGGGAGGAATACGTCTTCAACCCATGCTTGCCGTAAAAGGCGCTTATGCTTTTCGTAAGAACGGGATCGGGTGGTCAGACTCGCTGATTTGGTTGATGCATGTCATCGATCCCAATTGCTCGGATCGATGCTTATGATGTCAATCACTGGACCGTCTGGTCCAGACTCGATTATATACAGACCGCCGTCATATAGCTCGAATATTGCCGAGTGCGGCGTAAGACAACAAGCCAACCAACCACTATTGCAGTGTCCTCGCACACCTAAGGGACGCAACTCTTGGCAGCGAGTTGCAGTCTCTAAAACCCGACACACGTGCACATTAAAATGACATATTCCTTTCATGCAGCATGTCCACACGTCGGATACGTGTAAGTCTCACAATGTTAGGGATTTAGCCGCTGGGTTTGATTTGAAGATGAGGTATCAAATGCTATTTGAGAGCTCTTTAATCATTTCCCCAAGCATCGACCTTGGTTTTTTTCAAACGTTGCCGATTAAAATAAGGATCGGATGGTTAAAATGTGGGACCTGGATGTGCGTCAACGTGCTGAATGTATTACATGAAAAAAAATGTTCAAACGGGGATTTTGAAATAATTTATTTAAAAAAATATCCATCCGAAGTGTCCCCTCTTTTTGTCTTAGCTGAAATATTGTCAAAAGTGGAGAAAACACCCTTCATATTCACTGTACCACAATTCATCTGAAACAGCGAGAGTGTTGATCTTCAAATCATGAAGGTAGGCCAGTGACTGCCCTGCTCAGGTCTTCATGTATACAAAAGGAACAGTGTCTTTTAACAATGATTTGTAAGTGGACAGATGACTTGCCTTTGCATGTGTTTATGACGGTGCCACCGATAGGGAAGTATACGCTCACCTTTTCGAGGGCACCTGGTACCATCACTGTTTGATAGTGATTCATAAACACATGTTTATAATTTAGTCGTAATCATACAAGGGCTTTTTGTAGAAATGTGGAAATTGTGGAAATAGTATTATATTTTAATTAACAAAAACGAATTGACTGGGAAATACGAGGGCTTGTCAAAAAGTTCTAAGCCCTACTAATTTTTAACAATGGGCAATAACAAAGTGAACTAGAAACAACTTCTACTGTCAGATAGACGTATTACCATTGCTGAACTTGAGGAAGACTCAAGTCAGAGCCATGGATCCATTAAAACTTTTATTCATGAACATTGACAGATGAATAAGATATCTGCTCGTTGGGTGCCAACGTTTCTAAAGTGAAAAAAGAGATTAGTAACGGGTGATGAAACATGGGTCTACCACTATGATCCAGAGTCAAAACGTCAATCAATGGAATGGTACTATTCCACTTCTCCGGAACCAAAGAAATTCAAGTCTTCAAGATCAGTGAAGAAAGGTATTGCTAATGTATTGTGTGATGCAAAGGGTGTGATCCTAATTGATTACTTAGCAAGTCAAAAGATGATTACCGGTGCCTACTATGCTGATTTGCTTCATCGCCTAAGAGATTATATCAAAGAAAAGCGGCGAGGAGTGCTGACTGCTAGAGTTTTACTACTTCATGACAATTCCTCTAATCACACCTTTCAAATTGCAAATCGACAATGTGGGTTCGAAGAGCTTCTTCACCCTCCATACTCGCCAGACCTGGCACCAAGTGATTTCCACCTGTCTCCTAAACTGGAAGAAAACCTTTCTGGAAAGCGCTATGACGACAACAATGACCTTAAAACTGCCGTGGATGGGTTTTTCTGGGTGGCTTCAGAAACTTCTTCTTGACTGGAATTGAAACGCTTCACAATCGATATGAAAAGTGTATTGAAATAAAATTTACAACACTTTCTAACTGTTGGTTTTGTTTGTTAGGCTCAGAACATCTTGACCAGCCCTCGTATACCGTTCGGATAAGGGTGTTTTATTGCTGTACGAACTTATAAGATGTTTTTCTTTTTGTATTGCAACTGCATGTAGTATTCATTGCGTTTGGCTGACGGTTCACGAACGCTTATCGTGTTGAAGGAAATGTGCTTATTTAATTCTAGAAAAATACTAAACCATGGCCTGTTTGTAATCTTATCCCCGCTAATGATCTCGTATAAAAGAGACTGACGCAATCGTTAGCTTACTGTTTAATCTGACACGCGAAACAGGTAAGTCGCTTTGGTCACTTAAGGTGATGTGAAGGTGATGTGAAATGGGGTTTAACGTCGCGTCCAAGATTATTGCACTTATATACACATGCACGTGTGTGTGTGTGTGTGTGTGTGTGTGTGTGTGTGTGTGTGTGTGTGTGTGTGTGTGTGTGTGATGAAAAAGCCTAATCCGTCCGCCAAGTCCGAGATCCATCAGGTTTGTTACATGCATGTATGAATGTATGTGTGTATGTGTATTTTGGTCATCAGTGTGTGGGTGTGTGTGTGTCGCTGCTTGTAAGGGTCCGGACCGATGCCGATTTGTAGTGCTAGCACAATGCGATACTATGCCGCAGTTTAAAATGAAAACCTCACTCAGACACAGTATAATGACTCCGAGCCGACCAGTCCTTGTTTTAGCCCCTTAATGTAGAGCGCCAGGCAGGATCGAACCCCGGACCTTCCGCTCTCCGGGCGGACCCTCTACATCTAGACCAAGCTGGCGGTCGATACACATAAGGAAGAAAATATATGGATGTCAACTTCTTGCACATTATGAAAAAAATGTATGGATGCCATATTTCATATTGCATCAAGTATTATGATTCCCACGAAACTTCATAATCTGAAATAACTGAAATCGTGACATGTTTTTTAACGATTCCATGGCAATAGAGATCAGACTACCCTTTCAACTGCTTGTTCGTGCGACTTTTGCATCACTTGTCATGACTCAGTTCTAGAGATATACACAGGAATCTCTGTCCCACTTATTAACAGGCATGAATGTCTAGTTTTTCTAAGCCCCACTGATATTCTGACTTCATTCCTGTCAGTATTCCCTTAATGCAAGTGCAGGAATACTGACATGAGTGCTGTCCGCATGTCAGTGGGGCTCAGATACTGGCGATTCATGCCTGCTGATAAGATGTGAGTCATAGCATGTGATGCAAGAATCAGAAGAACAAACAGTTAAAAGGATAATATATTAACTATTGCCATGGGATTCTTGAAGAGAATGTCACGAATAATCAATTTCTGTTTCTGAATATGAGCTCGGGTAGGTCACACTATAAAGGAAAATAAATGTTTCGTTATACAATATATTTTCTAATGGTTGTACCCAAAAAGCGATGATTTACATTTTCTCCAGATGTGTATGTGAGGTCTCATACCGTAGCCTGCCGGATGTCTCCGGAGTACAAATACTGTGTGGTTACGTGATGACTATGATAAGGTGTAATGTGCTACTTTTTGACACGACGACATCTGTGCAAGTGCGCTCACGTGACGAATGTATTCACAAGTACATTGTTTCATAGGAGTGGTGCATAAGGTCTCCATGTGAATGGATCTTCAGACTTCTGTTAAAATGATCACAATGCTAAATGTAGTAATGTTCTAGGCCACATGGACGTGCGGGAATATGACGTCCACGGTCCATTCCGGATCACTGTTTTCTGGGCGATTATTGTTAAGAACGACTGTTTACACAGTACTCATGATGCGTTAATCAGACCATTCGTCAATGCAGACGATTTCACTGGGAAACATATACCGTCCAGATTAACGGGGTTTCACAATATATATATTGGTTCTGATTCCAGATAACAATGGGTCTGCTGTCGTTCTGTTCAATTGCTGTTCTATTGGGGTATGACAAAGTTCTGTTCTCATATTTGTATTAATGATACTTACAGTTTTTGCTGAGCATGTATAGACTGTATGAAACTAGTGGATGGTTTTCAAATTACTCAATCATGTTCAATGGACAAAACCTTTTTAATGTTAAACTTTACACGATATACAACCTTTTCATTGGACGAGAAGTCAGTCAATTGCTAAAAGCGGCGTAAAACCATACTCACTCACTCTTCAAAGTGATTTCCTGTTACATATAGCCACTGTTTACTATGCATTTCCATATAACATAACTATTCAACAATCGCATCGTGTAGCACACATTTGTTTTGTGAACAAGGTGACATACCGTTGTTGAAAACTCAATACAAAACCAGAAAACCTTTAGCTGATGACCTGTTTCAGAAAGGTTATTGACTACACATTCAACTGCCTCCTGTGATTCGTGGCATCACATGATAAGATCCAGTACTTGGGGTAATCTGGAGGAGTGAGTGAGTGAGTGAGTACGTGGGGAGTAACGCCACTTTGAACTGTATTAGAATTATATCATGGCGGGTCAGTTTGATGTGGGAGGGAAGCCCGAAGTGATGCAGACGTTTGCCACTTTGGTGAAACTCACGGTATGGTGCTTACAAACGGAGAAACTTCATCAGGGCGAACCGGGATTCGAAACCACAATCATAGGTTTCTGGCGTGACCAAAGGACGCAAGTCTGCACAGCGAATTCCGTCCCCTCAGGCGACTGCACTATTCTTTTATATTACTAAGGGACTAATAAGGAATCGGTTGAAATCGTTTTAAATCCTTATCTTGCAGGGTTGCCTATAGCCAGCCTACAACTGACGTGGCCACAACCATATTTAACATCCTTAATACTGACCATAAGAGCTTTATAACACCGGCGGAGTTTATTGCCTACTACAGTCAGTTCGACAAAGACGGTACGTACTTCAACCTTAACCCATACATCCGATGAGTATGTCTCTAATGTATGAACATCTTGCCCCCATTTTCAATAGTCTGTGTGTCTAGGTGTTCATCTGTTTGTTTGTCTAGATGTGTATGTGTTTGTTTGTTCGTGAGTGTGTGTGTGTATATAGGTGTGCGTGTGTCTGTGTATCTAGGTGTGCGTGTGTCTGCGTGTCTAGGTGTGCGTGTGTCTGTGTGTCTAGGCGTAATTGTGTCTGTGTGTATACGTGTGTTTGTGCGTGTGTGTGTCTAGGTGTGCGTAGGCGTGCTTGTGTCTGTTTGTCCAGGTATGCTTGTGTCTGTGTGTAGGTGTGCTTGTGTCTGTGTGTCTAGGTGTGCTTGTGTCTGTGTGTCTAGGCGTAATTGTGTCTGTGTGTATACGTGTGTTTGTGCGTGTGTGTGTCTAGGTGTGCCTGTGTCTGTGTGTCTAGGTGTGCTTGTGTCTGTGTGTCTAGGTTTGCTTGTGTCTGTGTGTCTAGGTATGCGTGTGTCTGTGTGTCTATGTGTGCTTTTGTCTGTGTGTCTAGGTGTGCATGTGGCTGTGTGTCTATGTGTGCTTGTGTCTGTGTGTATACTTGTGTTTTTGTCTGTGTAACTAGGTGTGCCTTTGTGCTTGTGTCTGTGTGTCTTGGTATGCGTGTGTCTGTGTGTCTAGGTGTGCGTGCGTCTGTGTGTCTAGGTGTGCGTGTCTCTGTGTGTCTAGGCGTGCTTGTGTCTGTTTGTCTAGGTGTGCTTGTGTCTGTGTGTCTAGGTGTGCTTGTGTCTGTGTGTCTAGGCGTAATTGTGTCTGTGTGTATACGTGTGTTTGTGTGTCTAGGTGTGCGTGGGTCTGTTTGTCTAGGTGTGTTTGTGTCTGTGTGTCTAGGTGTGCTTGTATCTGTGTGTCTAGGCGTGCTTGTGTCTGTGTGTCTAGGTGTGCTTCTGTCTATGTGTAGGTGTGCTTGTGTCTGTGTGTCTAGGTGTGCGTGTGTCAGTGTGTCTAGATATGTGTGTGTGTGTGTGTCTAGGTGTGCGTGTGTCTGTGTGTCTATGTGTGCTTGTGTCTGTGTGTCTAGGTATACAGTGTACGTGTGTCTGTTTGTCTAGGCGTGCTTGTGTATGTGTGTCTCGGTGTGCCTGTTTGCTTGTGTCTGTGTGTCTTGGTGTGCATCTGTCTGTGTGTGTAGGTGAGCGTGTGTCCCTGTGTCTAGGTGCACGTGAATTTGTGTTTCTACGTGAGCGTGAGTGTGTGTGTCCAGGTTTTCTAGTATATCTCGTTTGAACATGACCCACAACCTTAATATATTATGAAAAAATAACATTTGGGAAATGTATTTAGCCAACACTGCATCTGTAAAGTAAATAACTTTATTTTAGTAGCCTATTTGCCGTGATTTAGGTAATCTAAAAATGAAAATAAATGTGCATTTCTATCTTTTTTAGCATCTCTTTAAAACATGCATCATTGAAGCCAAATAACTATACCCATATTGTATACTGATATGGTAAATAACAGAATATTCAAAGAACAAATTTTGTATTTATTGAGATATGCTTGTACATGGTTAATGTTTTGGTTGGCTAGTGAGAATTAAATGTGATCAACATGTCAAAAGAGCTGCAGTTTACCCTGATCACTGTTGAGGACGAAAGAGACCCTCCCATACCAACTGAGTGGGGATGGGTATATCAGAATCACATGGCAACTACTGGAGCTTCTGAGATGTAGTTGTAAGTCTGACAGGGTTGGTGTAGAGCAAGGTGTGACTGTGTTGTGCCACGTTTGATTAGCACACCACTTTGCATCTGTGGTCCCTAACCAATCAAAACCATTAGCCAGTGATAGCATATTGTAGTAAATAGTAATTGTGTATAGTCTATACAATATTGGTATATTTAATTGAATTTCAAGAAAGATATGCCGAAAAAGAAAGAAATACATATTTTGTAATTATTTCCACACTTATGATTACCTAAATCAACATAAATAGTCTATTATGATACGATTATTTTCTTTACAGACATAGTGTTGGGTAAATACATTCCAAAGTGCTCATTTGTTCACATTTAATAAAGAAACAAAATTAGGTTGTGGGTCATAATCAAACGAGATATACTAGAATTTCTTTCTGCGGCCATATTGGATTTGGCAGCCATATTGGATTTTGGGGGGTGGCCCATATCGGGAAATATTTGGCATGTCATTACCTACAACTGTGCCATGTTTCATGCTTTTGTCACAAAGTACACAATTGGCCCTCTATCAGTTATGAAACGTTTCCACTGTGTGCTGACCAACAAATGGATCGGATGATCAGACTCGGTGACATGGATGATTGCATAGCAACGTACCCCGACGGCCTGGATCGTTGTATACAATATCAATCACTGGATTGTCTGGTCATGACTTGATCATTTAAAGAGCGCCATCATACAGATGGAATATTGCTGAGTGTGGCGTTAAATAACAAGAAACAAAAATATGGAAACTGGTATTCAGAATGATCTTTACGTATTTACATGATCACTCACTCATGTTGAAGGCAAGGGGTCTATAAGCAAGCAGGACTTCTTGAAACTTTCGACCGACCACGCCGAGGCTGAGAGGCAGTTTACCCTGTATGACGTTGATAAGGACGGGGCATTGACTCTGAAGGATGTCAAACTAATTGTGGATATGTTTGACACAGACAGTGAGTAATAGCCGTGTTATCTAGCTACAAAACCATAAAAACCATCCGGATATATTCCTGTATATGAAGCGATGTAAACCCATTGACCAGTGGTGGCACGTGGTCCTATGCACAACGCACAGGTTAAGGTGAAGTTAAGCAACGCCCTAAGGAATCACTGAGTTGGTTGAAGTAACAGTTTTTTTTGCTTCACTGGGAATATAACCAGGTTTGGTAATATTGCACAAGAGGCAATTTTAATGAAACAATCTTTCATATCAAAGATTCCGAAACAGACTTAAAGGGGTATGACTTTCGTGTCTCGAGATCAGCCAGCCCTGATCTAAAAGCACGAGTGTGTGGATATGTAAGTGGATTTGCTACGCAGAGAGGTGCGTGGGTGAGAACAATTACCGCCACTTCGAATAGGGTTCAAATTAAATCTTTGTTACCGATGTTTATCGTAAAAGTATGGAGTTAGTATACACTGGACAATCGATGATGATCAATCCTGGGATTACGAAGGCTTTTGATTCAATTTTTTAGGCGATGGCAAGATAACATTGGCCGAGTTTAAGGCAAGCTACGCCAAGGTAAGGATATTGAACTGACATGACAAGTTCCTATAAATAGGTGCTCCTAAAGTTTCTCATGACACCTTATAATAAATAATTCTTCCGCTTACCCGACAATAGAATTAACCATTGTGTAGTAAGATGGCTTTTTACCTTTCCGTACGGTTTCCGGGGAGACTAAGGCGTCAATATCCCAGCTTGTGCGGGCCGACTAAAGAGAATCCCGGTGGCTCGTTGATTGTGGCTCATTGTGCTTCAAGTGCGTGAAATAATCATGCTATTCACCTTCTCGTTTGGCGCGATTATTTACAGGCCGCTTTGATGCCGCTTGAATAGAGCTTTATGCGGCGTAAAACAACATTGATACGTCGAAAAAGTTTGAATAACCCTCTCGGATTGACGTCATATAAACACGAGTGAGTGAGTGAGTATGGTTTTACGCCGCTTTTAGCAATATTCCAGCAATATCACGGCGGGGGACACCAGAAATTGGCTTCACTCATTGTACCCACGTCGGGAATCGAACCCAGGTCTTCAGAGTGACTTGAGAACGCTTTAACCACTTGGCTACCCGACCGCCCCCATATAAACATGACTACTTAACATGTACTAATGCATATACTGCGTACATCCGGTATCGTATCTATCTTTGCAGCTCATCGCGGGCAATGACAACACCCCTGTTGGCAAGTAGAGGAACAGTGGAGAATAACGTCGCTGTATTGAAATTAAATATAGAAGATAAAATACTATGTCTTCTTTTTCTGTCAACTTGTGTAGACCCAGAGGTACACGAGGTGACCTACATGATGTTGATCACACTATCAACTACAGGTTTCGAATCTCAACAACACAGATCCGGCTGGGTGGTCATAATGTTATAGCTTCGGCTCTTCATACCGATGACCTGGGTTCGATTCCCTACATGGATGCACTGCGAAAAGTCATTCTTGGTGTTCTCGTTGGCTGGAATAATGACACCACTCTGTATACATGTGGTATGCACCTCGTGTATTTGGGCCTATGGTCTTTTATACAATAAATATTTAAATTGCATTGAGGTCAATGGACGTTGAAGAAAGGCCTCTGAATCTTGCGTACGACCCCACTACCGCCTTGTCCTCTTACGCCCAAGGGACGCAACTCTGCACATTGAATTGTAGTGTCTTAAACCCGACATACATTAAGATGACGTATTCCATTTATGAATCATGTCCACCCACTGGATACGTGCAAGTCTCAGGGATTTAGCGATTTGAATGACTTAACATTAGGTATCAAATGCTATTTGATAACTATAGGTCATACTGCAAACACGATTTGCATTTATTTCGTATATGGTCATTGGACGGAAAACGACAAAAACTTCATTATAATTGGAAAGTGCTTCCAGTCTTTTATACATACGATATAATTTAGCTCATGTACAACATCAAAGTACTAAAATGATAACCAAGTTATTATTATTATCAAATACATATTTTAATAACTCAAACGACCACATATACATGTGATACAAAATGAGGAGTATATATTTTAGAGTCCTTTCCGCATTCACAATATACACCTATTACATTGTAACTCTTATATAGATCAATATCTAATCCCTGAAAGAGAAATACAGGTAGCCTTTATGACTTCATCCAAACTGTAGTGTTCACACACCTATCCTCAGAAATATCCTTCTGATCAACATACTGATATGTTTACCGATCCCTAAGTAGACTTATGAAACTACTTTCAGCATTTATACTCATGCTGAAATAATCAAATCAATAGTTTAACTGTTCAATCATATCTTCTGTTCATGATATCAATCACTGGATTGTCTGGTCCAGACACGATCATTTACAGACCGCCGTCTTATAGCTGGACTATTGCTGAGTGCGGCGTTAAACAACAACCAAAAATTTTAAAACAATTGTTTGATAGACATTCCTTAAAAGTTGACGTATGATAAAGTAAACACAAATATGTATTGATAACAAATGCTGGAATATACTGTTAAAGCTATGTTTCGGTATACACCCTAGACCCCTTAGACCCTAATAAATCCTTTTCCTAATAATCCATGGGACCTACTCTAACCTGGAATCCCCCCGGGTTACGGGGTTTGTTGAACACTCACTGTGTGAGTGAGATAAAATGTAACGTCACACCTGCAATGATTCATTCATAAATGTGGCTGCCATGCCCCTTTTGGTAAGCGAGAATCTATTTAGAGGGTATTCGGGACGAAAATAAAATGGTCAACATGTGACCTTCCCAGATCTGGTCGATCACGTTTCCATACAAGGGCACAGGACAGATTCATACAGCTACGTCACTTACGTGAAAGAACCTCCACCGCCACCTCTACAACTACGGCAGTACCAGGATTGCGTAGGACATCAGCCTAGATAGCGAAGAACTGTTTACGCGCTGAAGGTATTCGCGCTAGACGACCAGTTCAAAGGGCCAGTGGTTTCAATGTGACAGTATGACCACAACTGTAATGAACACGGGTTCGGTTTGGTTTTAAATCACTTTTTTGCTTCGCCGTGCAATTGGGAGACGCCGTGTTTACAGGCGTCGCGGGAACGATATGCCCGAAGTGGACAGATTCGGCGGTGGTAGTGTGATGATGTGGGCGACTGTGGTCTACACTGGTAGAACAGACCTGCTTCAAGTTCAAGGAAATTTAACGGCACAACGTTACACGGATGGGATTCTTCAGCCTCGCGGCCCCCCATTGTGCAATAAGCGAACGTCATTTTCAAACAAGACAACGTCCGACCTCACACGGAGAGACTGACCACAGCCTTTTCATGAATCACTACATCCAGGTCCTGCCATCGCCCTCTTGGTCTCTAAATTTAAACCCAATCGTACAGTTATGGGATGCACTGGATGAAAGACAGCATGCACTTCAGCATCAACCACAGAACCTCTGGCAGATGGCACAAGCACTGCAGGCAGAGTGGGTGAACATTCCCTAGGCCAGAATTCGGGATCTGATTGCTTCCACGGGACGACGATGCCAGTCAGTTTTGGACTCTAATGGTAGCCATACAAGATTCTGAGCACAGATGACCTTCACCTTGAACATTTTCTGTTCCATGTAACCTGGGTCAATGTGAATGATGTGAGCCAGTTTTGAACAATCGATTACAATCTGTTGGTTATTTATATGATTTATAAAATACACATCTAAAATCACTTTTGCGTTTCCTTTTTTGCAGAGTATATCTATTTCAAAGAAGCATCTTGCCATCTGTGTTTCCCAAGTCCCGTTATCATAAACAGGTGTAATCTGTAGTGAATGTGGTCGCCAATCTCCGAGACCAAGCTTGAAATACTCAGTCTGGCTTGTGACCTGTGCAGTGTACTGACAATCCCATGAAAACTCAGGCCAAAGTATATATGATTACATGAATTTTATAATTGAGAAAAACGGTGTCCCAAAAGTAAGGTTGCCGGACGAAATTAGCGGTCAAAAGAAACGCCACAAATTGAATAATGGTCGTCAGTTTTCAACAATTCTGCCAAACAGCACGAAAACAGTTGGGAACACATAGCTGGAATGCAACTTACCCATTCCCTGTCAACATGTGCACGTGCCTCACGCGATTTGCGAGAAAAGTGAATTTAATCAAAGTTACCCGTATGACATTCTGGTATAAGCAGCATGAGCAGCATTGTACTCTCTCATCACATGAAACCGTTTAAAACAACGAACATGCCTCGACTAACCACAGAGCAGGGGGAGAGATCCATCGGTATGTTGCAAATTGGACAGCACCATCGCCAGACTTGTCACACGTCACAGGCAAACTGGTAGAACTGCAGACAGACCGAGGAGTGGAGGACCCAAGGTCACAACCCCACAGGAAGACCGATATTTACGGGTGCTTCGCCTAAGGTCAAGATTCCTACTGTGACGTCATCATCCGCAAACAGCCTTGGACATCCAGTCAGCAGAAGGGCCGTTGCTAGACAACCCCGCCTGTATGGTCTCCGTGCCTTTCAAGGGCATGACGTTAACGTTTCTACACCGACGTCACAGACTGAGATGGGCCAGGTCTGTACAGCAGTGGCAGCAGAGAAATTGGCTTAGAGTGCTCTTCAAGTAGGTGCCAGCTCTTCAAGTCTAATAGATGGGTTCGAATCTACGGACAACGTGGTGAACAGACGGCACGTTGTTGCGTCCAACAAGTGGAACGTTATGGAGGTGGTAGTCTCATGGTCTGGGGTGGCATCTGCGGGGACGAGAAGACAGATCTGGTCATCATCGACGGAAATCTCACTGCACGTCGTTACATGGATGAGGTTTTGTGGCCTATGGTACTGCCTTTCCTGCCAGATCACCTCACCTGTCGCCCAAAGAGCACCTCTGGGACAAACTTGGACGCAGGATTCGGAAACAGCCGCCATTGACGAGGGATGCCTTGGCATGTGCCCTGCAGGAAGAATGGCGTAGGATTCCTAATCAGGATGTCAGGAGACTCGTGTACTCAGTTCGACGTCGTGTTAGGGCCTTCATCGCTGACGGAGGGGGTCACATCCGATACTGAGCCATGTGTGTAGCAAGGGACTTTAGAAGAGATCCTAGTCAATTCTGCGGTTTTGATCGAATACTGGACAGTGCACCCAGCATGATAAACGTGTCTGCAGAACTTTAAGTACATGGTTTTTGATCTTGTCAATTTCAAGTACCGTTTTTCAATAATAGTTTTTTATAATAAAACATCAACTGTTTTAAACCAGAAAATTGTTTGGTGGCGTTTCTTTTGTCCGTTAGCTTATAAACTTGTCTTTCGAGGCGAACTCATTGATTGGTTCATGTAACCCGACGGTGTGGACGTTGCTCACTATATCAATCACTGGGTTAGCTGTCGCCACTTTGCCGCGTTAAACTACAAACAAAAAAGGAACCCATATATTTTCTCAGAGAAAGAGGTTATGGGTAATATCTAGAATAACCTACTGGCAAATGTATTACCCATTACACATATATGTCAATTGCTATTTTTTTAATAACCCGTGAAGTCCTTTAAGAAGTGCTGTGTTCGCGTCTGGTTTGTTTCGAAAATGACAGTGTCACCTCAATCGTCAAACTGCTTAACTTTGGAATTGTGCCAATTGCAAAGAGGCCTCCTTGCGCGTGAGTGGGTCAGTGAGTGAGTGAGTGAGTTTGGTTTTACGCCGCTTTTAGCAATATTCGAGCAATATCACGGCGGGGGACACCGGAAAAATGGGCTTCACACATTGTACCCACGTCGGGAATCGAACCCGGGTCATCGGCGTGACGAGCGAACGCTTTAACCACTAGACTACATGAACCGCCCCCCCCCCCCCCCCCCCCCCCCCTTGCGCGTGAGGTGAGGCGAGGTGAGGTGAGGTGAGGTGAGGTGAGGTGAGGTGAGGTGAGGTGAGTTTAACATCACGTTGGAGTTTATTGTACTTATATAGCGAAGTAGCGACAGTTCCTCTGTACTTCATGTTTGTCGGGTCGGGGAATCAGACCCTTGTGTCATCATACCCCAATGGGTTGGATCTGTACTCCTGCTCTCAGTCACTGATTTTCCTGGTAAGACTTGATTATTTACAGACCGCCGTGACATAACTTACTGCGGCGTTAAACACCATTCACTCACTTCCCCGGATGAAAGGGAGACAGGGAGACGAAATATATTTCAAAATATATAACTCCGACGTTTAGTTGGGGACAGAATCGATAAGGTCACCAGCACTCTACTGTTGAACGTAAGAGGCGACTACATTGGATACGGTAGTCAGACTCGATGGCTTGGTTGATTGCGTGCAATCGTACCCCGACGTATCCCGTTGCTCATTACATCAACCATTGGTTCGTCTTACCGAGACTCTTTTACACGTCGTATTCATACAACTGAAACATTGTGACTGTCCTTTGTGTCCTTTAACCGTGAAAATCCCATAATAATTAGTTCTTATTCAATATGGATTATGTTCCTTAGCCAGTCAACATCAAACCCGCGCCCGAAGGCTTAACGTGGTAAACTCGTCAGGGGCTGACCATTTAATATTGTCGGGGAGGGCTGGTATATTTTTAAGTAGAAGAATTTTCCAGCAATTAATGGACAACTGTTTTTTTACCTCGGGATTTAAAACATAACACTTGCTTGACTTGGTGTCCTGAAAATAATTGGCCAGCTCTTCCTTGTGTATGCCAAGGAGCAGTGACAGAAAAAAAATAACAATAATCCTCCTCCCCGCCTTCCTTCTCCCAGAATATTACATGAACTGTGCCTGAGTTACCTTGGGCTTTCCTCCCATATACTGACCATGACTCGTCGTGATGTAGATGTGATAATACCAATCAGCAGAGTCTGGCACAACTAAGGTAGGCAACTCTTGCGGGCGATCCTGATGAACGGTGATATCTGAACTAAAAATTCCCCAAATGAAATTCTTTATAACTGTTGTTATTATCCATGTAATGTAGATATGTTGTTGTAATGTGAGTTTGGGATATGATGAAGAATTACGTCCCTTAGCCGTGCCAGGATCCTCTGGTACTGGGTTCGAATCCCCCAATTCGCCCGATTATGACCCTTGGGGTGTCAGCTGAGCACCTTACCAGTTTGTTTCCCGGAAGATGTTTCTTGAATAATCACCAACCATCGCTGTAAAAGGGATAGAGGGGTGGGTTGGGGGATTCAAATCTCAGGGAAGACAGTACTATTATAACAGAAAACATATAGGCTATTCACATATCTTTATTCATACAAGGGGCATCTATTTACCAACGGAAATCTGCATGGCGAGAGCCTTCTTGTAAAGCTGAAATAATGAAGATTATACCAATTTAGAACTGACACATAGAATATACTAAGTTGAAGTACGACGGTTAAACCTAGTGACACAAATGTGACACAAAAAGTCAGTTGCCCTCATAACGTTGAAGTGAGTGAGAATGGTCTTACGACCCCTTTGCAGTATTCCAGCAATATCACGGCGTGGGACACCAGCAATGGGTGTCACACATTTTACCCATGTAGGGATTCGAACCCGAGCATTACGCTTTACCCACAAGGCTACCCCACCGCCTCTTTAACTTTGAAGCCGTGTTTTACATATGGAAGTGAGTCAATGTTGCGTGACACCACAGTGGTCCAGCGTGTACATAATGGAGCCTGGACCACGGAAACAAGTGACTGACACCAGGAGCAACGATCAATGGGTCACGCCGACAAGCATCCAGAGAGCCACAGAGCCTGGCGACCCGATCCCCGATTTCGTCGACTGGTAATGACGACAATCATGAGGTGCAGACCTAGGGAGGAACCTAATGGTGGGGTAGCCTAGTGGTTAAAGTGTTCGCTCGTGACGTGGAAGGGCCATTTTCGATTCCTCACATAAGTACAATTATATTTAAAGTCCATTTCCGCCGTGATGTTGCTGGAATATGGCTGAAAAGTGCATAACCCTTCTCACTCACTCACAGAGGGACTCCCGTATATATCATGTTTAAACGCATGAACGAGTGCAAGTTAAAATGTACCCAGAACAATTATGAAATATAAAAAAAAAATTTGTATAACAGCTTCGAAGAGGGGCAAAATAATTAATGTTTGTTTGTTGTTTAAGCCGCACTCAGCAATATTCCAGCTATATGTCGACGGTCTGTAAATAATCGAGTCTGGACCATACAAACCAGTGGATGACATCATGAGTATCGATCCACGCAATTGGGATACGATGTAATGCATCAACCAAGTCAGCGAGCCTGACCACCCGATCCCGCATGTGTTGCTGAAGACCAGTTCTAACTCGGATATTCACGGGTCAAACTTCTATTGCTGATCATATAAGCTTGTATACGTACATCGGTATAGTGCGTGATAAACTCTTCCTCCGTGACCTTGCCGTCTCCTGCAACAAGTATGCCACGAACAATATGTATATGACTGACCTGGCTATCCCATCCAGATATTGTAATTTATTAGTAAGTTAGAAAGGTATCATAGCTGGTGACATAAACGAAATAATACATTTAATATTCAAAGGTATATTAATTGCTGATATCTTCCTGGCAAGGTCCCTGCAGTTTTCTTTTGAAACCAGTGCGTCATCATTGGTTTGGTTTATGGCCATTTTGTACAGTTTTCAGTTATATCACAGTGTGTCAGCTTCATGTGAGTGTTCAGCCCAAAGTGATGCACGGGCACTGGAACGTTGCTGACAGACGGCTAATCTGTAATCTCGAAACCCGAAAGTACATCACGTTTTCATTATTGACTTATGAAACCAGTGTGCCATCATGGGTTTTGTTTATGGTACAGTTTTCAGTTGTGCAGCGTGTCAGCTTGAGGTGAGCGTTAAGCCGAAAGTGATGCACGGGTGCTGGCAAATCTGTAATCTCGAAACCATAAACCACCAGACACATGACTCATGACGTTTTCCAGATTGACACCTGACGTTTTCCAGATTGACACATGACGTTTTCCAGATTGACCCATGACGTTTTCCAGATTGGCATATGACGTTTTCAAAATTGACACATGACGTTTTCAAGACGGATAGTGACTTTTTCCCATTCAACGCATGATCTTTTCCACATTGACTCATATTATTTTCACACTGATACATGACCAAATCGACACATGACTCTTTATTGACGAACACATTAAGATTTACGTTTGTGCTTGTTGGTGTTGTGGGATATGATAGAGTATATTCTCATACTTACACATTTGTTGTATATCCCTATTAAAATAAAATTTAGTCCTGAATGATGTACAAAATACTTTATAATTAAAGTACACCACATAGTCTTGCAGGACAAGGACAAGATGACCAAGGAGATACGACATGTCTGACGACATACCACATGTTTTGTTTGTTTCTTGTTTAACGCTGCACTCAGCAATATTCCAGCTATAAGACGGCGGTCTGTAAATAATCGAGTCTGAATTAAGTATCGATATTCGCAACTGGGATACGATACGATGACATGCATCAACCAAGTCTGACCACCCGATCCCGTAAGTCGCCTCTTTCGACAAGCATCGGTTCCTGAAGACCTATTCTACCCCGGATCTTCATCGGTCGCACACCACATGTTGTTTTAGGACATACCGTTGACGTCGAAGCTGTTGAGGATGGCGGGCACTTCTGTTCTGTGTATCACGCCGTCGCTGTTAGGGTCAATGAGGGTGAAGAACGTGGCTGGTCCTGCTCCCACGGTTCCAGTTGCATTCTCGTATTCCGCTACCGGCACCTGGCCGTCCTCTGGGTAAGCAAAAGCGGACACGTAAGGCATGAAAGCATAGCAGCCAATATTTCATAAATATCAGGACAGGGTTTATCGACAACGTCTTTCAAACATCCACCCAATGAGGAATCGAAGCGGGTCTTTGGCTGGATGAGAGCGCATGCTTGGACCAAATGATTACCCAGTATGGGGTTAAGTCTCTTGTAGTGATATTCCATGGATATTACTTTGGGACGCTTGGAACGGGGTTTATCATAACACATTCTGCTCATCTTGCGATTCTAGCGGTCGGCTTCGTAACGAGTCAATTTCGTCTGTATAATGTCACTTGGAAGCAATGAAGACCAAGTGGTTTCGAGAGAAGAAACGACGGCGTATGTAACGGGGGGAGTCATGATATTGCCGCGCCTTTATCTAATATTAACTGCTGATTAATTTCTCCTTCAACTTAAGTTTATGTCGCATACAGTGTGTTCTGGAAATCTCGGTTAATTACGCATCACACAAAATTAAGGGGGCAAATGGAGGATTTTAGTTCACCGATTCAAAAAATTAAATGTCTGAAAAGTACGAAGAAGAGGACGAGTAAGTATATTTACGTGCAGAATGTCAAGCCAACAATTTGTACCTGAACTGAAAACATTCTTCTGTATTTTCCGTTGCAAAACTAACAGATTCGGGTCCGACAACGCTTTATCTTGATAAATGTCATACAGCAAAAACATTAATCTGCATGTTAATTATGTATCATATTTTCGTTAAGTACAATTGTGAATTTAGGTTAAAGTTCTTGGAAAGCCAAACGTCGATATATAATACTCAAAAGAAGTTAAGGACCACCCGATTCATCTTATCACTATGATCAACCTGTCATTCCATGGCAGCTATAGTACTATGAAAGAATCGGGTGATCCTTAACTTCTTCTGAGTAGTATATCTATCCACACAAAACAGTTTTCAGACATGGATAGATTCTGTAACGAGTTGATTCTCAACTTGGAACGCAACGGTTAACCCAGAAATCGGCACGTGCAGAACTAAATTGTGAAATCATTACTTTAAGAATTAACAAATAATATTGAAACACATTTGGGTTGCAATCATAAAACACAACATAATAGGTCAAACATGTGGCAGCAGTAAAGAACAGTCCCTAAGTCAGACTTGAGTTCACTCTAGATTGTGCAGTGGCATGTATGTCTTGAATGAAGCATGTGCTCCGATCTTGAGTCCAGGAAACAGTGTTTGAAGAAAGCACAAATATCGGCATCCCGTCCGCACTGGAAGCACTGCGACTAGATAAGTCGCAAGAGAAGTAGGAGGCCTCGAATCGCCCATGTCTCGCTCTTTAATTAGTGCAGCCACCCTACTAGAAACTGTTACCTCACGAACATGCGTGAACAAAGGCGGGTAACTCTCAAGTACTCTGGTTGGCATACCGTCCAAAAAACCTTTGGAAACGGCACTTAACATGTTTAGAGCTCTTCTCTCTGCTGCCACTATCACAAGAAATAAATTGACCATATCTACTGTCAAATGACAATTGTTTCTACGTACTGTTCAGATCGAACGAGTCGAAGTTGGCTTGGAATTCGGAGAGGTCGGCTATCTTATTGTTGTTAGTGTCAACATTAATCTCGAAGAACTTGGCGTACTGGTCGTGAAAGTTTCTGCAAGCGATAAAAACATGTTAGTCTTTGATTACAGACATCAAACAATTCATTTATTCTTATAAGGACACCACAGAGTTACGTCCCTTAGGCGTTCGAGAATCCGATGATCGTGGGTCCGAATCCCAGATTAGTTCTGATTATGGTTCTTTATTTGTCAGCACCAAACCCGTATTCATGGGCTTCACCAAAGTTATAAACGTCTCAGACCTGCACTTTCCTCCCATATTAAACCAACACATTGCGATATAACTGAAATACTGTTTAATGCGTTGTTAACCTAATTTCACTCTCAACCTGCGAGTGGCGGATCATTTCACGGTACGCCATCTCGATTGACACAACTTTTTATAATCCGTATTGCGTTTGGATGTTAGAAAAACCTTTCTTTTGGCTTGATACAACCGTTACCCGTGAAACGAACAGAGGCGAGGTGTGGGTGATTATTGCGCGTGCGTGCGTGTGCGCGCGGCTACTTATACTTGTCCGGACTAACGCCGATTTTATAGTGCTAGCTCACAGAGATACCGTGTCGCAGTTAAACATGAATACCCCACTCAGACACAGTATACTGACTCTGTGCCAACCAGTCCTTGATCAGCCCCTTAATGCCGATGGCCAGACAGGGTAATAACAAGGTCCATCTTTGTACGTCTTTTGGTATGACGGGGCCGGGGTTCGAACCCATTATACCTAAATATTGCATGCCGACGGTATTGACAAACTCTCCTTCTAATAAAATGAACCTTGAAACTTGAACTTTTGAAATTTGAAGGCAGATGAATACTTTTATCAGGGTCATATTTAGAGATGTTACGTCAGCTTTATGAAATGACAGAAATACCCTTGTCCAGCGCACAGACCGACGAACGTCAAGCAGAGGAGAAGCAGCATAGTTGTGTCTGTGAGAAGATATAGATATAGATAACATCATCAAAACACTTTCCATGATCACACAATAATTACATCGGAATAAATGCTTCAATATGATGCTCGTGCAAAGTTGAGACCTATGCCCGGAGACGAAAAGGTAAAATCAGGTATTTTAGCCCAGTGTTTTCCCATTTTAATATAACCTTCCTTGGGATACGATGGCATGCATCAACCAAGTCAGCGAGCCTTACCGACCCGATCCCGTTAGTCGCCTCTTTACGGCACGCATGGGTTTCTGAAGACCTTTTCTCACCTTGATCTTCACGGGTCAAATATGATAAGAACAATTCTGGGCCCTCAAGAAATGTTAATGAAAAGTACATTATGTTCACTCGACTGAAAACTCGTCAGCTTAAACTAAAGTTTAAAATAAAATAGTCTAAAATAAAAATCAACAAGGCAGAACTTCATGAGAAAACACTGATAATTGTTCAATGGCCTAAGGTGATATTTTTACGCAGGTAAAATATCTTTGTACTCATTTACAAACTTGTCCTGAGCAAATCGGCTTGGGTCAAAGCTTCCTACTGTTTACATATTAGAATATCAGAAAGTCTTAAACTCGGGCGTTGGGGCTTGGTTTTGTTATATGATAAAAATACTTACGTAATGAAAAAACAAAACTAAGTGTAATCCTCAAACGTGAATGAGACATGGATGAAGACTGAAAACATTCATGACGATTTCTCAAAGTTTTGTTCTGTTCTTAAATGTGCATATCTTGCCTAGTAGGGTTCGAGTAAGCCTTGTACTTTGCTCCTCATGGGAAGGTGAAAACATAATCCAAAAGCACGTGACCCACGAGAAAGGCACGGTTTGGACGTACAATACGTGTGTATGGTGCATGAGATTACGATTGGTCAGTGTGTGGACTGGTACGGAACAGAGACAAGAGGTGGTGAGGTGAAACGTGGCGTTCAAGCTTATTGCAATTTCATAGCGTCGTGCATGCATGTATGTGCGTGCGTGCGTGCGTGCGTGCGTGTATACGTGGCTCCTTATGCAAATGTCAGTTTTATAGTATTAGCCCGGGGAGATGCCATGCCGCAGCCGACTGATGACATGGATACCCCGCTCAGACACAGTATACTGATGTCCTTGTTTTATGCTCTCAATGCCGAGCGCCGGCCACGGTAACAACAAGTACCAATTGCAACTTATAACGCATATTTGGAATGACGCGGTCGGGGATTGAACCCCTGACCTTTCCGTTCTCCGGACAGTCGCTCTATCCACTGCACCAGGTAGGCTGTCAGCCGAGGCGTGAAGATGTTGAGGAGGTCGGGTATGTTCCAGGTCGTCACGGTGGTGATGACACAGCTTGGTCACATTTTGTAACTTTCCGATTCTTATCAGTCGGCTATGACGTAACCATGGCTTACCGGGGCTACTTCTGCCCCTGAATCTGTGCGGGGTTCATGGGCCAATGTTTGTTTGTTGTTTAACGCCGCACTCAGCAATATTCAAGCTATATGACGGCGGTCTGTAAATAATCGAATCTGGACCAGACAATCCAGTGTTTAATATCATGAGCATCGATCTACGCAATTGGAAAACGATGACATGCATCAACCAAGTCAGCGAGCCTGACCACCCAATCCCGTTAGTCGCCCCTTACGACAAGCATAGTCGCCTTTTACGAGACCTATTCTATTATGCAGGATTGAAGTGAATGGCTTACCTATTGCGTAACGTGTTCACAAATGAAGCAGGCGAAGTGACTCTGAGTTTCTAACCAGATGTTTGATGACGTGGTTGTCCTTATCAGCCTTATCAGTCCCTTCCCTAGGTGAAGATCATGTTACCGCTTGGTGCAAACTTTACCTTTCCATATTTCATATCATATTCCTGTTCGTATTGAGCAATACTCAAAACACTAATAGTTTAAAAGAACTATCTCTTTGGCTTCTGGGTTTGAATAGATAACAAATGAAGGTCGTAGAAGGCGGCTTAATGGACCTGCTGGTCAGACTCGGTGACTCGGTCATAGTGTGTCATCGTACCCCCACAGCGTGGATCTTTGCTCATAATATCAATCACTGTGTTGTCTGATCCATAGGCGATTATTTACAGAATGCCGTCATATAACTGGAATATATCCGAGTGCTTTGACCAACAACAATCAAACAATGCCTGTATGTTATATGTATGTATGGTCCATTTTGTGTTTGGTATAAAACAAGCACTGCAATACAACCTGTTCATTGACACATATGTGCATGTATATGGATGTGGCGTTTCTCATTATTCCAGCAGAACCGTTAATATCCGGGTTAGAGAATATTGTGAACCACTTGTCGTAAAGGGCCACTTACGGGATCGGGTGGTCAGTCTCTCTTTGTTGATGCATGTCATCGTATCCCAATGTACGTAGCTCGATGCTCATGATCTCAGTCACTGGATTGTCTGGTCCCGATTCGATTATTTACAGACCGACGTCAATTAGCTGGAATATTGCTAAGTGTGGCGTTTAACAGCAAAAACCTTACAAACAAACATTATTTTTGGAAAGTAAAAAGGGACAAACATTTTAAAAAGTTGTGCATGTACTAAATATCTATTTCGAAAGGACAATGTGTGTGTTTCCCAAGTGGTCATATCTAGAGTGTGCTGTTCCGAGTGGATAGTTCAGTCGGTGCCTAATGACATTGTGGTGACAACTCGTGCAAAGCTATCATCAGAAGACACGCTTTGTAGTCAGGCTCTTTGACAGCTTATTGCTATAGCATCTCGACGGCTTTAATCGTTGCGTATGCTTTCAAGCACTGGATTGCCCTGTCCACACCTTTTTCAGGTCCTCATGACTTAGCTGGAATTTTAGATAAACAAAATCAAGCAAACTAGACTCGGTTAGTTTGATCTAGACCTGCCTAGGCTTTTAGTAAAAAATGCACTTGTTTGAAATGTCAACAAAGTAAAATTCAGATTTTACACAGTGCAGCATTTTCTCCTATTTTTAGCTATCCATTCTTCTATTTGTTGAATACATTGGCTCAACATGTTAAGGCTATACATGTGAAGAGAATCGTATTAAAAGGGAATTAAAAATAGATACATTGCAATGGTTTGATATTTTCAACAGGAATTGTCAAAGTTTCCGTCCTGTGTGACGCCAGGACTGACGCAAAATCACACTTATTTACACGTCGTATTCATACAATTGAAATATTGTGACTGTCCTTTGTGTCCTGTAACCGTGAGAAACACATGATCATTAGTTCTTATTCAATATTCACATGGATTATGCTCCTTGGCCAGTCAACCCCAAACTAAACCCGTGCCCGAAGGTTTCGCGTGGTAAACTCCCCAGGGGAAGACTGTTTGGCCTGGTATATGTTTGCAGTGGTAATATTATCCAGCTACATGCACTTGACAACTGTTTTTTAACTGGGGATTTAAAACATAACACTTGCTTGACTTGGTGTCCTGAAAATAATTGTCCGGCTCCTCCTTTCGGAGAGAAGTGTAAGCCATGGAGCAGTGACAGAAAAAAGACTTAACAAACATCCTACTCCCCGCCTTCCTTTTCCCGGAATATTACATGAACTGTGCCTGATCATGAGATACCCTGGGCTTTCCTCCCACATGCTGACCATGACTCGTCGTGATGTAGATGTGATAATGCCAATCAGCAGAGTCTGGCACAACTAAGGTAGGCAACTCTTTCGGGCGATCCTGACGAACGGTGATATCTGAACTAAAAATTCCCAAAATGAAAGTCTTTATAACCGTTGTTATTATCCATGTAATGTAGATATGCTGTTGTCATGTGAGTTTGGGATATGATGAAGAGTTATGTCCCTCAGCCGTGCCAGGATCCTCTGATATTGGGTTCAATCCCCAATTCGCCCCATTATGATCCATGGGGTGTCAGCTTTGCACCTTACCAGTTTGTTTCTCCGAAGATGTTGCTTTCCAACCATCCCTGTGAAAGGGATCGAGGGGTGGGTTGGGGGATTCAAATCTCAGAGAAGACAGTACTATTATAACAGAAAACATATAGGCTATTCAAATATCTTTATTTATACAAGGGACCTCTATTTACCAACGGAAATCTGCATGGCGAGAACCTTATTGTAAAGCTGAAATAATGAAGATTATACCAATTAAGAACTGACACATAGGACATACTAAGTTGTAGCACGACGGTAAAAACAAGTGATAGATATATGGAAGCCCCGAAACCAAAGTCAGTTGCCCTCATAAAGTTATAGTGAGTGAGATTGGTTTTACGCCCCCTTTGCAGTATTCCAGCAATATCACGGCGTGGGACACCAGCAATGGGTGTCACACATTTTACCCACGTAGGGAATCGAACCCGAGCCTTTGCCGTGACGAGCATACGCTTTATCCACAAGGCTACCCCACCGCCTCTTTAACTTGTTTGAAGCTGTGTTTTATATGGAAAAGTGACTCAATGTTGCGTGACACCGCAGTAGGACAGCTTTATCACTGTAGCGTGTACATAATGGAGCCTGGACCACGGAAACCAGTGACTGACACCAGGAGCAACGATCAATGGGTCACGCCGACACGCATCCAGAGAGCCACAGAGCCTGGCGACCCGATCCTCGATTTCGTCGACTGGTAATGACGACAATCATGAGGTGCTGCAGACCCAAGGAGGAAACTAATGGTGGGGTAGCCTATGGGTTAAAGTAATCGCTCGTGACGTGGAAGGGCCATTTTCGATTCCTCACATAAGTACAATTATATTTAAAGTCCATTTCCGCCGTGATGTTGCTGGAATATGGCTATTAGTCGTAAAGCCTTCTCATTCACTCACTCACACACAGAGGGACTCCCGTATATATCACGCTTAAACGCCGAAACGAGTGCAACTTAAAATGTACCCAGAACATTATGAAATTTCAAACACATTCTGGTATAACAGCTTCGAAGGGGGGCAAAATAACAATGACATTATCCACATTAAAAGTATATTAGTTTTTTTGTTTGTTTGTTGTTTAAGCCGCACTCAGCAATATTTCAGCTACATGTACATGATGGCGTCTGTAAATAATCGAGTCTGGACCATACAAACCAGTGTGTGACATCATGAGCATCGATGCACACAATCGGGATACGATGTAATGCATCAACCAAGTCAGCGAGCCTGACCACTAGATGCCGTGAGTCGCCTCTTACGACAAGCATTGGTTGCTGAAGACCTATTCTATTCACGGGTCAAACTACTATTGCTAATCATTTAAGCTTGTATACGTACATCGCCATAATGCTTGAGAAACTCTTCCTCCGTGACCTTGCCGTTTCCTGGAACAAGTTGGCCACAAAGAATATGTATACACATGCACAAAAGTTAAGCGCCACCCACCATATTTGTGAGCTGTTACTTTTGGCACTTAATGATGACTATTATAACGAGATGAACGATTGTTGTAAGCCGTATATGTAAACCTCATGTGATGCAAATGTTGTCCCTAAACAAGTTTATCTTGTGTTCCAAAAGAATATGAGCAGGATGGAATTTTATAGAAGACCAGAAATTGAAGGATTAGAAAACATTGAAAAACTTTTTTTGTCATGTAACTGTCATGATATCAGCAGACCATATCAGGTGCCACATAGACACCCTAGAGAGTGCAAAGACTATTGCAAGACAGAAACGTCAGTAACGTGTGTATGATCCACTGACATTGACCACAGCTTCATCCCTACGCCTCATACTCATTACAAGTCGTTGAATGCATTCTTCATGAAGTGCGGCTTCAAGTCCAGCGAAATTTTGAACTGGGGGATCACGATGTCTGATTTTCCGGCCAAGGATGTCCCAGAGATGCTCAATCGGGTTAAGATCCGGACTACAGGCCGGCCAAGGAAGAGTGGCAATAGTTTCTTGACGCAAATAAGCCTAAACTGCCCGAGATCTATGTGGTCTAGCATTGTCGTCCATGTAAACAGGTCTTGTCTGAAGAGGATGGTTGTCAAAATGAGGGACTACCAATGGACGAAGAACGGCATCTTGGTATTGTTGGCAATTCAGGTTTCCACGAATTGTCACCAGCGGAAGTTTGCAGCCGAAGGAAACACAACTCCATATCATGACAGACCCCCCGCCACATGCTAAGGTCTTCTGGATGTTCCTTGGTGCAAAACGAGTGTTACGTTGCCTCCAAACACGTATTCGACCATCAACCGTTTGTAGCAGCATTCGACACTCGTCAGACCAATGGATCCTTCTCCAGTTGGCCAAGTTCCATCTACTACGGGCACGACACCATATCAGACGATTCCGCATGTGCCTCTCAGTTGAGGGCGTTTTACTGGTCTTCTGGCGTTATATCCAGCCGCTCTGAGGCGACGCCTTACGGTAATCGTCGAGAGTCTCTGATGGGTTATCCACTGCAGTCTTAAAGCTGTGGCAGATGGCAGATGGATTTCGTCTGACTATCCCGAAAAGACGTCTATCCTCTCTGTTAGAGGTCTTTCTTCTCTGTTAGAGGTCTTTCTTGGCCTACCAGACCTATGCCTACCATTGACATCATTGGTTTGGCCATGTTTGACAATCAAACGAGTGATAACACTGTGATGATGACCCATTTGTCTTGCAATGGCCCTGCATGACATGTCAGCTTTTTCATGCCTATCACTTGCCATCTTTCAGCGTTCATTAACTTTCTCCTCACCATGGCTGCTTTTCTACCCCTATTGGAAGGGGAATCTCACACAGGAGCAAATTGCAAACACGTGTCTGAAACTTGAATTTCACTTTTTATAGGGTAGGGGAACTGCAGCAACACGTGAAGCACGCTTTCCGTGTGGAATCTGGACGAATTTGGTTTCATGAAACCCTGGAAGCCTAATTCAGTCATACATCATCATATTTCGTATTTCTGATTCCCACACGTGAAATCAAGAGACTATGAATATGGTGGCGCTTAACTTTTGTGCATGTGTATATATGACTGACCTGGCTATCCCATCCATGCATTCTACACTTGTTAGTCAGTTAGAAAGGTATCATAGCTGGTGACATGAACGAAATAGTACATTTAACATTCAAATGTATTTTAATTGCTGACATCTCCCTGGCAAAGTCCCTGCAATACATGAAACTGTTTTCTTTTGAAACCAGTGTGTCATCATTGGTTTGGTTTATGGCCACTTTTTAGTTTTCAGTTATATCACAGCGTGTCAGCTTCATGTGAGCGATCAGCCAAAGTGATGCACGGGCACTGGGACGATGCTGACAAACGGCTAATCTGTAATCTCGAAACCCGAAACTACATGACCTTTTCAACATTGCCGCAGCACGTTTTCAAGACGGACTCATGACATTTTCCAGATTGAGTCATGACGTTTTCCAGATTGACATATCACGTTTTCCAGATTGACTTATGACGTTTTCCAGATTGACACATGGCGTTTTCCAGATTGACACATGGCGTTTTCAAGACGGATAGTGACGTTTTCCAGATTGGCTCATGAAGTTTTCCAGATTGACACATGACGTTTTCAAGACGGATAGGGACTTTCTCCCAATCGACGCATAATCTTCCACATTGACTAATATTGTATTCACACTGACACATGACGAAATCGACACACGACTCCTTATTGGCGAACACATTACGATTTACGCTTGTGGAAGGTATATGTGCTTGTGGGTGTTGTGGGATATCATAGAGTATATTCTCATACTTACACATTTGTTGTATATCCCTATAAAAATACAATTTAGTCCCTAATAATATATAAAATACTTTATCATTACATACTACATAGTCTTACAGGACAAGGACGAGATGACCAAGGAGATACGACATGTTGTTTGACGACATACCACATGTTTTGTTTGTTTGTTGTTTAACGCCGCACTCGGCAATATTCCAGCTAAAAGACGGCGGTCTGTAAATAATCGAGTCTGAATCCAGTATCGATGTTCGCAACTGTGATACGATGAAATGCATCAACCAAGTCTGACCACCCTATCCCGTTAGTCGCCTCTTTCGACAAGCATAGTCGCCTTTTACGGCAAGCATGGGTTGCTGAAGACCTATTCTACCCCGGATCTTCACGGGTCACACACCACATGTTGTTTTAGGACATACCGTTGACGTCGAAGCTGTTGAGGATGGCGGGCACTTCTGTTCTGTGTATAACGCCGTCGCTGTTAGGGTCAAGGAGGGCGAAGAACGCGGCTGGTCCAGCTCCAACGCCTCCAGTTGCCTTCTCGTATTCCGCCACCGGCACCTGGCCGTCCTCTGGGTAAGCAAAAGCGGACACGTCAGGCATGACAGGATAGCAGCCAATATTTCATAAATAGCAGGACAGGGGTTATCGGCAACGTGTTTCAAACATCAATCCAAATGAGTAATCGAACCGGGACTTTGGCAGGACGAGAACGCATGCTTGGACCAAATGATTACCCAGTATGGGGTTAAGTCTCTTGTAGTAATATTCCATGGATATTACTTTGGGACGCTTGGAACGGGGTTTATTATAACACATTCTGCCCGTCTTGCGATTCTAGCGGGTGGCTTCGTGACAAACCACTTTCGTCTGTATAATGCTACTTAGTAGCAATGAGATAGTAGCACAACGAAGACCAAGTGGTTTCGAGAGAAGAAACTACGGCGTATGTAACGGGGGAGTCATAATATTGCCGCGTCTTTATCTTCTATTAACTACTGATTTATTTCTCCTTCAACGTAAGTTTATGTCGCATACAGTGTGTTCTAGAAATCTCGGTTAATTACGCATCACACACAATTAATGGGGCAAATGTTGTTTTTTTCTTCACTGCTTCAAAAAATTAAATGTCTGAAGAATACGAGTCAGTTTATTTACATGTAGAGTGTCAAGCCAACACTTTTGGTTTGTAAAACCTGAACTAAAACCATTCTCCTGTATTTTCCGTTGCAAAACTAACAGATTCGGGTCCGACAAAGCTTTTTCTTGATAAATATCATATAGAATAAACATTAATCTACATGTTAATTATGTATCATATTTTCATTTAGTACAATTGTGAATTTAGGTTAAAGTTCTTGGAAAGCCAAACGCCGATATATAATGCTCAAAAGAAGTTAAGGACCACCCGATTTATCTTATCACTATGATCAACCTGTCATGCCATGGCAGCTATGCTACTATGAAAGAATCGGGTGATCCTTAACTTCTTCTGAGTAGTATATCTATCCACACAAAACAATTTTCAGACATGGATAGATTCTGTAACGAGTTGATTCTCAACTTGGAACGCGACGGTTAACCCAGAATTCGGTACGTACAGAACCTAATTGTGAAATCAATAAAGTAAGAATTAACAAATAATATTGAAACACATTTTGGTTTACAATCATAAAACACAACATAATAGGTCAAACATGTGGCAGCAGTAAAGAACAGTCCCTAAGTCAGACTTGAGTGCGCTCTAGAATGTGCAGCTGCATGTATGTCTTGAATGAAGCATGTGCTCCGTTCTTGAGTCCAGGAAACAGTGTTTGAAGAAAGCACAGATATCGGCATCCTGTCCGCACTGGAAGCACTGCGACTAAATAAGTCGCTAGAGAAGTAGGAGGCCTCGAATCGCCCTGGTCTCGCTCTTATATACGTGCAGCCACCCTACTAGAAACTGTTACCTCGTGAACATGCGTGAACAAAGGCGGGTAACTCAAGTACTCTAGTTGGCATACCGTCCAAAAAAACTGTGGAAACGGCACTTGACATGTTTAGAGCTCTTCTCTCTGCTGCCACTATTACAAGAAATATATTAACCATATCTACTGTCACATGAAAATTGTTTCTACGTACTGTTCAGATCGTACGAGTCGAAGATGGCCTTGAATTCGGAGACGTCGGCCATCTTATTGTTGTTAGTGTCAACTTTACTCTCAAAGACCTTGGCGTACTGGTCGTGAAAGTTTCTGCAAGCGATAAAAACATGTTAGTCTTTGATTGCAGACATCAAACAATTAATTTATTCTTATAAGGACACCACATGTGTCCTAGTTACGTCCATGTTCATAGTTATGTCCCTTAGGCGTTCAAGAATCCGATGATCGTGGGTCTGAATCCCAGATTAGTTCTGATTATGGTTCTTGGTTTGTCAGCACCAAACCCGTGTTCATGGGCTTCACCACAGTTATAAACGTCTCAGACCTGCACTTTCCTTCCATATTAAGCCAACACATTGCGATATAACTGAAATACTGTTTAATGCGTTGTTAACCCAATTTCACTCGCAACCTGCGAGCGGCGGATCATTGCACGGTACGCCATCTCGATTGACACAACTTTATATAATCCGCACTGCGTTTGGATGTTTGAAAAACCTTTCTTTCGGCTTGACACAACCGTTACCCGTGAAACGAACAGAGGTGAGGTGTGGGGTGATTATTGCGTGCGTGCGTGCGTGCGTGCGTGTGCGCGCGGCTACTTATACTTGTCCGGACTAACGCCGATTTTACAGTGCTAGCTCACTGAGATACCATGTCGCAGTTAAACATGAATACCCCACTCAGACACAGTATACTGACTCTGTGCCGACCAGTCCTTGTTTCAGTCCCTTAATGCCGAGGGCCAGACAGGGTAACAACAAGGTCCATCTTTGTACGTCTTTTGGTATGAAGGGGCCGGGGATCGATCCCATTATACCTAAATATTGCATGGCGACGGTATTGACAAACTCTCCTTCTAATAAAATGAACCTTGAAACTTGAACCTGTGAAATTTTAAGGCAGATGAATACTTTTATCAGGGTCACATTTTAGAGATGTTACGTCAGCTTTATGAAATGACAGAAATACCCTTGTCCAGCGCACAGACCGACGAACGTCAAGCAGAGGAGAAGCAGCATAGTTGTGTCTGTGAGAAGATATAGATATAGATAACATCATCAAAACACTTTCCATGATCACACAATAATTACATCGGGGTAAATGCTTTAATATGATGCTTGTGCAAAGTTGAGACCTATGCCCGGAGACGAAAAGGTAAAATCAAGTATTTTAGCCCAGTGTTTTCCCATTTTAAACCTTCCAAAACAGGCATGCCTTGCAGAGTATAAAATGGTAAGTTTTGTTTTTTGTTTAACACTGCACTTAGCAATATTTCAGCTATATATGACTGCGGTCTGTAAATAATCGAGTCGGGACCAGACAATCCAGTGATTGACATCATGAGCATCGAGACATCATGCCTGGAGAGGAAAAGGAAAAATCAAGTATTTTAGCCCAGTGTTTTCCCATTTTAAATAAAACCTTCCAAAACAGGCAGAGTATGAGATATGACTGGTTTGTTTGCTTGTTCAACGCCGCACGCACCAATATTCCAGCTATATGACGGTGGTTTGTAAATAATCGAGTATGGACCACACAATCCATTGATTGCCATCATGCGCATCGATCTACACAATTGGGATTAGGGTTAGGGTTGCTGAAGACCTATTTTCACCCGGATCTTTAACAATTCTGGGCCCACAAGAAATGTTAATAAAAATTATATTATGTCCAGTCGACTGAAAACTCGTCAACTTAAACTGAAAGTCTAAAATTAAAATCAACAAGGCAGAACTTATTTTTACACAGGAAACATATCTTTGTACTCATTTACCAAATCAGCTTGGGCAAAAGCTTCCTACTGTTTACATATTAGAATATCAGAAAATCTTAAACTCGGACGTTGGGGCACACCATGGCCTTCATTGTTATCAGATCAAAATACTCACGTGATGAAAAAACAAAACAAAATGCAATCCTCACACGTGAATGAGACATAGATGAAGACTGAAAACATTCATGACGATTTCTAAAAGTTTTGTTCTGTTCTTAAATGTGCATATCTTGCCTAGTAGGGTTCCAGTAAGCCTTGTACTTTGCTCCACATGGGAAGGCGAAAACATAATCCAAAAGCACGTGACCCACGAGAAAGGCACGGTCTGGACGTACAACACGTGTGTATGGTGCATGAGATTACGATTGGTCAGTGTGTGGACTGGTACGAAACGGAGACAAGAGGTGATGAGGTGAATCGTGGCGTTCAAGGTTATTGCAATTTCATAGCGTCGTGCATGCACTTCTGTGCGTGCGTGCGTGTGTGCGTGGCTGCTTATGCAAATGTCAGTTTTATAGTATCAGCCCGGGGAGATACCATGCCGCAGCCGACTGATGACATGAATACCCCGCTCAGACACAGTATACTGATGCCGAAACGACCAGTCCTTGTTTTATGCCCGTAATGCCGAGCGCCGACCACGGTAACAACAAGTACCAATTTTTTTAACGTATATTTGGCATAACGCGGTCGGGGATTGAAACCCTGACCTTTCCGTTCTCCGGGCAGTCGCTCTATCCACTGCATCAAGGAGGCTGTGAGCCGAGGTGTGAAGATGTTGAGGAGGTCGGGTATGTTCCTGAATCTGTGCGGGGTTCATGGGCCAATGTTTGTTTGTTTGTTGTTTAACGGCGCACTCAACAATATTCAAGCAATATATGGCGGCGGTCTGTAAATAATCGAATCTGGACCAGACAATCCAGTGATTGTGATCATGAGCATCGATCTGCAATTGGAAAACGATGACATGCATCAACCAAGTCAGCGAGCCTGACCACCCAATCCCGTTAGTCGCCTCTTGCGACAAGCATAGTCGCCTTTTACGGCAAGCATGGGCAGCTGAAGACCTATTCTATGATGCAGGTTTGAAGTCAATGGCTTACCTTTTGTGTATCGTATTCACAAATGAAGTAGGCGATGTGACTCTGAGTTTTTAACCAGATGTTTGGTCACGAGGTTGTTTTTATCAGCCAGATTACAAGTGGTCCCTTCCCTAGGTAAAGGTCATGTTACCACTTGGTGCAAACTTTACCTTTCCATATTTCCTATCATATTCCTGTTCGTATTGAGCAATACTCACAGCACTAATAGTTTAAAAGAACTATCTCTTTGGCTTCTGGGTTTGAATAGATAACAAATGAAGGTCGTAGGAGGCGGCTTAATGGGAGCTGCTGGTCAGACTCGGTGACTTGGTCATAGTGTGTCATCGTACCCCCACAGCGTGGATCTTTGATCATAATATCAATCACTGTGTTGTCTGATCCATAGGCGATTATTTACAGAATGCCGTCATATTATTGGAATATTTCCGAGTGCTTTGACCAACAACAATCAAACAATGCCTGTATGTTAAATGCATGTATGGTCCATTTTGTGTTTGGTATAAAACAAGCACTGCGATACAACCTGTTCATTGACACATATGTGCATGTATATGGATGTGGCGTTTCTCATTATTCTAGCAGAACCGTGAATATCCGAGTTAGAGAAAATTGTGAACCATTTGTCGTAAGAGGCGACTTACGGGATCGGGTGGTCAGTCTCTTTGTTGATGCATGTCATCGTATCCCAATTACGTAGCTCGATGCTCATGATTTCGGTCACTGGATTCTCTGGTCCAGATTCAATTATTTACAGACCGACGTCAATTAGCTGGAATATTGCGGAGTGTGGCGTTTAACAGCAAAAACCAAACAAACAAACAACATTTTTGGAAAGTAAACAGGGATAAACACTTTAAAAAGTTGTGCATTTACTATATATCTATTGCGAAAGGTGTTTGACCATGTGTGTGTTTCCCAAGTGAAGTCATCATGGACTGGTCATATCTGGAGTGTACTGGTCCGAGTGGAAAGTTCAGTCGGTGCCTAATGACATTGAGGTGATAACTGGTGAAGAGCTATCATTCGAAGACAGGCTCAAAGAGACCCCGCTTGTGGATAACAATGAGCTGTCTACTGAGCAACCAATCGTGATTCCGGGTCGGAATAAGTCTCACACTGAGTCAATCAAAACATGTCTATAAAATAATTTTTTTCTTCGAAACAACCTTTCCTCTTCTGGGGGAATCAAGCAAACTAGACTCGGTTAGTTTGATCTAGACCTGCCTTGGCTTTTAGTAAAAGAAAATACCTACAAAATATAAATTCCAGAGCCAAGGCACAGGACTACTGGAACACTAACATAAACATTAACAGAACCTGAAAAAAATCAAAACTATAGGAACGCTGAATGCCAGAACGTATCAACTTCTTGCCGTCCTTCGTGCTCTAGACTTCTATAATACGGGGCGACCCGGGTTAGAATATCCGCCCCGCCCCCTCAGTAACCCGTTGCCTTTTGTAAGAGCTGCGATACATACATCCTTGAATTCCTCACATATTTTAGAATCAAATGACAAATGGTCTTTGTCATCAATACAAAGTGTCTAGATGAAATCAAGCAAACTAAATTAGGTGTGCAAACGAAAGCTGTGCTCGAAAAACTGCACTTGTTTGAAATGCAAACAAAGTAAAATTCAGATTTTACACAGTGCAGCATTTTCTCCTATTTGAGCTATTCATTCGTCTATTCGTTGCATACATTGGCTCAACATTTTCAGACTATACATGGGAAGAGAATCGTAGGAAGAATTAGGGAATTAAAAATAGATACATTGCAATGATTTGATATTTTCAACAGGAATTGTCAACGTTTCCGTCCTGTGTGACGCCATGACTGACGCAAAATCACACACTCTTTTGCGCGCCGTATTCATACAACTATATGTTATGTTTGCAGTATTAATATTATCCAGCTACATGTACTTGACAACTTTTTTAAACTCGGGATTTAAAACATAACACTTGATTGACTTGGTGTGCTGAAAATAATTGTGTATGCCAAGGTGCAGTGACAGAAAAAAAGACTTAACAATAATCCTCCTGCCCGCCTTCCTTCACCCGGAATATTACATGAACTGTGCCTGAGTTACCTTGGGCTTTCCTCCCATATACTGACAATGACTCGTCGTGATGTAGATGTGATAATACCAATCAGCAGAGTCTGGCACAACTAAGGTAGGCAACTCTTGTCGGGCGATCCTGACGAACGGTGATATCTGAACTAAAAATTCCCAAAATGAAAGTCTTTATAACCGCTGTTATTCTCCATGTAATGCAGATAGGGTATTGTCATGCGAGTGTTGGATATGATGTACAGATACGTCCCTCAGCCGTGCCAGGATCCTCTTGTGCTGGGTTCGAATCCCAAATTCGCCCTTGGGGTGTCAGCTGAGGGTGTCTCCGAAGATGGTACTGGAATAATAACTTAGCTATCAAACCATCGCCGTGAAAGGGATCGGGGGATTCATATCTCAGGGAAGACAGTACTATTATAACAGAAAACATATAGGCTATTCACATATCTTTATTCATACAAGGGACATCTATTTTCCAACGGAAAAATGCATGGCGACAACCTTCTTGTAAAGCTGAAATAATAAAGATTATACCCATTTAGAATTAACACATAGAACATTATAATATTAAATTAAAAAATAATAACAATGATAGTCATGATGATGATGATTATGATGATGATGATGATAATGAGTTGCCCTCATAAAGTTATAGTGAGTGAGATTGGTTTTACGCCCCCTTTTTCAGTATTCCACCAATATCACGGCGTGGGACACCAGCAGTGGGTTTCACACATTTCACCCATGTAAGGAATCGAACCCGAGCCTACGGCGTGATAAGAATACGCTTTATCCATAAGGCTACCTCACTGCCTCTTTAAATTTGAAGCTGTATTTGATATATGGAAGTGAGTCAATGTTGCGTGACACATGGCCTGTACATAATGGACCACGGAAACCGGTGACTGACACCAGGAGCAACGAGCAATGGAGCCGATACGCATCCAGAGAGTCACAGAGCTTGGCCACCCGATTCCCGATTTTTAATTACGACTCTTAATTGCGACAATCATGAGATACTGCAGACAATCAGGCTAACGGTGGGGTAGCCTAGTACTTAAAGCGTTCGCTCATCACGCGGCAGGACCAGTTTCGATTCCCCACAAGAGTCAATACGTAAAGTCCATTTCAGCATTGATATTGCTGGAATATCGCTACAAACGGCGTACAACCAATCTCACTCACTCACTCAGGGGGCATTCCTTATAGATAATGCTTAAACGCTGAAACGAGTGCATCTTAAAATGTACCCAGTTAACAATTATGAATTTTAAAACACATTCTGGTGTAACAACTTCAAAGAAGGGCCATATAATTAATGTTTGTTGGTTGTTTAAGCCGCACTCAGCAATATTCCAGCTACATGACGACGGTCTGTAAATAATCGAGTCTTGACCATTCAAACCAGTGGATGACATCATGAGTATCGATCCACGCAATTGGGATACGATGACATGCATCAACCAAGTCAGCGAGCCTGACCACCCGATTCCGTTAGTGGGTTGCGACAAGCATGGGTTGCTGAAGACCAGTTCTAACTCGGATATTCACGGGTCAAACTACTATTGCTGATCATATAAGCTTGTATACGTACATCGGAATAATGCTTGATGAACTCTTCCTCCGTGACCTTGCCGTCTCCTGCAACACGTATGCCACGAAGAATATGTATATGACTGACCTGGCTAGCCCATCCAGATGTTGTACATGTATTAGTTAGTTGGAAAGGTATCATAGCAGGCGAGGTGAGGTGGATCGGGCGGGGATCGAACCCCGCACCTTCCGCTCTCCGGGCGGACGCTCTACTACTAGACCATGGATGCGGTCTATCATAGATGCGGTCATGTATTTAATGTTCGAAGGTATACTAATTGCTGATATCTTCCTGGCAAAATTCCTGCAGTACAGGAAACTGTTTCTTATGAAACCAGTGTGCCATCATTGGTTTTGTTTATGGTGCAGTTTTCAGTTGTGCAGCGTGTCAGCTTGAGGTGAGCGTTAAGCCGAAAGAGATGCACGGGTGCTGGCAAATCTTTAATCTCGAAACCATAAACCACCAGACACATGACTCATGACGTTTTCCAGATTGACACATGACGTTTTCCAGATTGCCACATGACGTTTTCAAGACGGATAATGACTTTTTCCCAATCGACTCATGACTTTTGCCACATTGACAAATATCTTTTTCACACTGATACATTTGTTTTAAAAATCGACACATGACTTTTAAAAAATCGACAAATGACTCTTTATTCGCGAACACATTAAGGAGAGAGGGGATGATTTACGTTTGTGGAGGGTATATAGACTTGTGGGTGTTGTGGGACATTACAGAGTATATTCTTATATCTACACATTTGGTGTATATCATTAAGAACATACAATTTACTCCTGAATGATATAAAACATACTTTATAATTAAAGTACACCACATAGTCTTACAGGACAAGGACGAGACGAACAAGGAGATACGACATGTTGTCTGACGACATACCACATGTTTTGTTTGTTTGTTGTTTAGCGCCGCACTCGGCAATATTCCAGCTATAGGACGGCGGTCTGTAAATAATCGAGTCTGAATCCAGTGATTCACGTGATTCGATTCGATTCGATCTTCGCAACTTGGATACGATAAAATGCATCAACCAAGTCAGCGAGCCTGACCACCCAATCCCGTTGTCGCCTCTTATGACAAGCATGGTTTGCTGAAGACCTATTCTACCCCGGATCTTCACGGGTCACACACCACATGTTGTTTTAGGACATACCGTTGACGTCGAAGCTGTGGAGGATGGCGGGCACTTCTGTTCTGTGTATAACGCCGTCGCTGTTAGGGTCCATGAGGGCGAAGAGCGCGCCTGGTCCAGCTCCAACGCCTCCAGTTGCCTTCACGTATTCCGCCTGCGGCACCTGGCCGTCCTCTGGGAATGCAAGAACGGACACATCAGGGATGACAGCATATAGCAGCCAATATGTCATAAATATCAGGACAGGGGTTATCGATAACATGTTTCAAACATCCAT